TTCTCCCCAAAGCGCAAACTCCAAGGGCCGGAAGAGCTCCGCTGCGTCTGCTCTCAGAGAAGCGGCGAGATGACAGGCCTTAGTTTGAACGATCCGAAACGATAGAAAATTGTGTTTTATACACTTGCCAGGATGTCTTCCCATCATATGTGGATAACTTCAGAGATGGACGAGCAGGCATTGGTAAGAATTTAAAATCATCACTCCTGCTCCCTGCCGACGCTACGAATTTCTTTAAAGTATCCATTTCTTTGGCAACTGCAGAAACTCTCTCATCAATTTGTTGTTCGATTTGGTGTTGGACGGCACAAACTCTTCCTTCAATTCGTTCCTCCACAGCAGCAGAAACTCTCCCTTCTATATGTTCTTTTACAGAAGAAACTCTTTCTTCTATTTCTTCTTTCACCAAGAAACTCTTTCTTCAATATGATCTTTTACGGTAGAAACTTTTTCTTCAATATGTCCAACTTTATTTTCAACTGCGTCAATTCTGCCTTCCATAGCTTCAAATTTATTTTCTATTATGCAAGTAATTTCTCTTTTCATTTCTTCTTGACCAGCTTGAACGGCTTTTCTTTCATTTCGTCCTTAACGGATTCCTGGCCCAATTTCATTTCTTCCTTAACGGATTCCTGGCCCAATTTCATTTCCTCTTTAATTTCTTCTTTAAATGAGGCAAAGGCTGATATTAACTGCCTTAATTGCTCTTCCATCGCTCTTGTTATTGGCATTCAAACCCCACTCCTGACACCAAAAATTTGTTGCGAGCGTACGGGTTCGTTATGAAATGAATGCACAAGTCCGATGAAAAATGAACAAAAATTTATTATTATCACAACAAAAATGCTTAAATTTTCTCAAATTATCACGCAGTATTACAATATCTCACAGTAGTTATCTTTTAACTACTCAAATATCCAATAGAACGTAATTCAAAACAGATAAAGAACGCTAATCTGCGAATTCGCTACAATCAACAAGAGCAGTTTTCTGTATCTGTATCAATCTTGCTTTTTAAACAAGAAAGAAGATGAGGACTTTGGCGAACGCCGTTTCCTCCAATCCGTGAGGGTTAATATTGAAATTAACAACAAACGTTTTTACAAATTTTTATTGAACATATACAAACATCCATGCCTTCTCCGGGATTCGAACCCGGACCCTTCGGCACGGTAGTCAGCAACGCTAACCACTATACCGGTTGGGCGGCAGCAGTTTTCTAAAACAACAACAAACTAAGCAAGCAACTAACTACAAACTGAGATGTTTTCCTCCTTTTATAAGATTTTAAAATCACGCGCTAGAATTTTCCAGTACTTTCTCGAAATCAAAAAGAGATATTTATTTATTTAATGCACGCGCTCTTGTAATTTCAATTTTCCGGCTTAGCTTTCTTTTAATATTCGTCACGCGCTGCACTGCGCGAGAAATAAAACCATTTTAATTTATAATTGAACTAACATTAGCTTTTTAAATACCAAATTCGTAACATTGTTTTATTATTTGCAACACTGTTGCAAAAATATAACATTATAAATTGTATAAACAATCAAATTTATTGTATAATAAACCTTTAAGGGAACAAAAATTTGGTTCTTTGAATTAATGTATTAATTTGAAGAAGCTTATTTCTTCCCCCCCCCCCCCAAGAAAAAGAAAAATTCCGGAAAGAGTATTGTGAAAAATCCTGTTTAACATTTTAACATTCCAAGACACACAAATAATAATTTTAACTTGAAAAATATTGATATTAGGAATTAATTATAGCTGTTATTATTAGTAATAATATACAGTAATTAAATGTTTTCGTATTTCTTTCCTATTTCGTAGTTTAATCATATAAAAATTATACGTAAAAAATTATTTCAGTTAAACGTCATGATTCAATGCCTTTCCTTGAATTGGTTTATATCTCTCTTTAAAATATGTATTTAGAATTACGAACGATCAATTTTATGCATAAAAACTGGACTAATAATGTACAATACAAAATACTGGTGAAATTAACTTTGAATATGTAATATTCTGAGTAGAACAATAATGTTAATCACCTGTTGTCGTGATAAAAATTTCAAGAAATTTTTTATAAGTAAATGGTTCAGTTTTATATTCTAGAAATGAAATGTTTTAAATTTTACGGTTTTTAACCGTTCGGCGGTTGCGAGATTAAGCAATGCTTGCTTCACAGATACGTGGAATATTTGTCAGTGGTAAATTTGTAATGCGAGTTGAGCTCGTTGATCACCATCAAAAGGTTAACTGATGAAATATTAATAACACATACAGCTGCTTTTCCATACACAATATTCGTTTTTCTTATCTTGTATTTCTTCAACTTTATCACTCAAGGAAACAGAATCTTCAATACGAGTAATTTTCAACTTAATTCATGTCACAATATTTCATCACGAGCATCTTCACCCGCACCAGCATATATTTCAGTGCTTATTTTTTCTCTAGCCGCACATAATATTCCTCTTGAACACCTTTCGCTAGTTTGGCTTGTAATAACTAGCGAATACTTTTGTTATATGAGTGTATATAAAAAGTATGTTTTTTATATATACTTTTTTTAATATGTTTTATATACATCAAGAAAGCGTTCATTGCAATTTACATCTTTATTCAAAATATTGCAAAAAATGGGCTGCTTTCTGTTGTGGCACAGATCAGCAGCGGTTGCGTATTAAAACCGCTGAACACTAATGGTTCAGCCTGCGTTCAAATCTTAGCATGAGAACATCCATGTAACGCGATACTAGTTACATGGGTATTCTCATGGTTTCTCTCATGTACAAACAGGCTAAGAAGTTCATATTCCGCGAACTGGTTGGTTGCATGAGCGTTTTCGCTGATTTCTCCATGTGTAACTGGTATTTGAAATAGTTTCCCTTAGAAAGTTCCGCACGGAGGTCTCCCTCTCCTTGAGCAGATAGCTCTGGAGTGCTTTGCCATAATCAGGTAAACCAAACCAAACCTAAACAGGGATAGTGTTCTTTAGAAAATCTTCCACAAAGCATCCCTACCTTTAAGTTGTTAGTCTTATTGCTTTTTACCGTACTCAGTGAAAGAAAATAAAAACAGTCCGTAACAAGTTTCTGTTAGTTATTATTTGGATCTTAACCTAGATGATAACAGATGTGTTCGAGAGCAGATACGTAATTTTATTCCATTTTAATTCCTGTGCGTGTTTTACAAACCAAAAATAGAGTTCTTCGTTTTTAGGCCAAGAGTTTTTCAGCCCATTCTTAGAGCTCTTCCTCAAATATTTTCGGCGTTCCCCATACAATTAATTCCATGCCATTCTGACATTGGCCTTAGCTGTAAAGGTAGCAGAAAAATTTTTCACAGAAGTTAAATGTTTTGGCTTTTGAGATTTTTCAAATCACTAGACATCTACTAAGCCCAATTTTATCCTTTTGACATTCGCAGACATTACAGGATCTGCAACTTTTGATATTTTTCCAACCACTTTACTTTCCGCCTTAAAACTTAAACATTTACACACGTCAACACAATGATATGAATTATTTCTTAAAAATATATATTTCACTATGCAATTATTTAAAAATGTATATCTTTTACTGTAATTTATTTTCAATATTGTTTAAACAGAAAATCAAAATGACACAAGTAAACTAACAGCGAACGTAATTTTACTTGTACTACACAGAAGGAGCAAGAGTGCGGATAACTAGAAGTTATATTTAGATGCCGGATAACTGACGTTATACTGTGGCATAAATTCCTTATGTACGTAAGATATTTGAACTGAGAAAATAATGCAAATTTTATTTAATAACTGGAAACTTTTGAAATTATTTAAAGCAAAAAATAAAATAAAATAGTATTTCTAGTGCAGAGAATCGTAGTTTAAAAAAAAATGTAGAAATTGTACATCTTTTATATTCTTCTCTGTTTTTATATATTCATTTATTTGAGGGAGAAATTGGTGAATATTTGTAAAGAAAGAAATACTGTGGAATAATATAAAATGGTTTTGTTGTGCATAAATGTATTAAATATCAAATTAATTGGTTTTGCCATTACAGTTAAAAGGTTATTATAGTTTTACACAATTTCTCATATACTTTTATTTAAAATTTATCCACAGTCAAGTAAAATGAAGGACTTTTTTGAGCAGCTTTAAAATAAAAATGAATACATTAATTCCGTTATTATGATTGCAGAAGGAATAATAAAAATGTATATCTGTTAACTTGAGAAATTATTGTGATCATATCTTGTTGTTGGAATAATGTCGGCTAAAATTTTGGGGTACTTAGAGATTTTCTTCAAACTATTAGAAACGGAAATTTCAACGATTATGATAAATTATAAAACATTCATTTCAGAAAAATGCTTTCTTCTCGGTGACATAATTTGTTAATGGATAACTGCAGTTGATGATATTCTAAGATAGAATTTCTGAAACTATACTGTAAATTTTCAATTCGTGTCAGTTTTCTAATTCGTAAGTTTTTTAATTGACATGTTCTACAGAAAATAATCTTGTATCTAAATTACAGTGCTGCTAAGTCTCATCATGCGTTTTACCAACTTCACGTATGGTAATTTTCCAACCACCTTCACCTGTTGTTTTACCAAGTTCACCTGTGGTTTGATAATTTAAAAGCAATAAAAATAATAACAATTTAGTTTCGTTTTGCAATTACAGTAGGATATTATTTCTTTCAAATGATTTAAGTGAAAAAAGTTTAAAAAGCAAATTTTCAATTCAGTGATCAAAATAAAATAAATTTAATTGTTATGTTAAAAAAATAAGTTATTTCTTTTTCTTTATTTCATTTTTATTTATTTATTTATTTGTAAAACTGACCCAGACCATGAGTTATTATGGCTCGCCTCAATTAGTTTGGACAAACAGGCCACTGTTGGTGCTTTTGTACATTATTTTCTCATCTTTCTTTTATAATGCAATTTAATTTATGCTTTCTTATAAAATATTAACAACAATATATTATTATCTTGTCGATTAGAGTGATCCTTACGCCATGCTTCGAGAATCACCAACGCAAATGAAAGGCAATGACCGTTTCGAAGGCTATGGAATAGATCTGCTGAACGCCCTTGCGGATCTATTGCATTTCACGTACGAGATTCATGAAGTCAAGGACGGGAAACACGGCGCATACAATGAAACGACCGATTACTGGGATGGCATGATTGGCGAGATCGTGCGTGAGGTATGTACTAGCATTACCGTGTATTACTAGTATTATTGTGTTACAAAATACAATTTATATGCATGAATTGAAAGTGAGAAGATTTAAAATAAACTAGTTGTTACTACACTGGGCAATACTTCCTGTGTTAGTAATAAAATGTTATGTAATGGCTTTAAAAAATGATCAATATTACAAAACATTACAAAATGTGTCATGTTTTTCATTCAGGAAGCTGATTTAGCTGTTGCTGATTTGACCATCACAGAAGCCAGATTGAAAGGTGTGGACTTCACATTGCCTTTCATGCAGACCGGTATCAGCATCCTCTTCAAAAAACCAACTGAAAAAGTGACATCTTTATTATCTTTTTTGTCCCCATTCTCCGGAGAAGTATGGCTTCTTGTCCTGGCTGCATACACTTTCATCAGCCTCAGTTATTTCTTTGTAGGTAGGCTAAGTCCTTACGAGTGGTTCAACCCTCATCCTTGCCGAACAGAGAATTTGGTGGAAGAAAACGTCTTTAGCTTGTTGAATAGCATGTGGTTTGCCATAGGCTCATTTATGAGACAAGGCTCGGATCTTGCACCAATGTGAGAATTTTTTTCCAACGTATATCATTGGTTCGTTAAATCTCATTATCATATTTTTTGATTGAAAATAATAAGATAAAAATAGAAGAATTTTTTCAAGTTTTGCGTTCATTTTTTAAAGAACAGAGGGACACAGGAGAGCGTACATTACGTGAAGGAATGTTACACAGCTAATGTAATATCAAACTGTACAATTGTTGCTGCAAAATGCATGTAAATTAACTCTATTTACTTTATATTGGGCTAAACCAGCGGTTCTCAAATTTTTGGCTAACGCGTACCATCTAAACAAAAATTGAAAACTTTTAGTATCACCACTACTCTTGAACAAAGCTCAGATCGCATAAATTTCCGAGTGTTAGAGAAAAGCTCAATCAGGATGTTGAGTTTTAACTTTTGAATTTAATAGTTAAAAGTTTGCTTCTTTGCGTACCACCTATTTTTCTCTTGGTACCACCTGTGGTACGCGTACCACCGGTTGAGAACCCCTGGGCTAGACAATTTTCAACCACAATTTCCGTAACTCCAAAAACATCATCAGGTGAGAATGTGGTGAGCGGAACAGTAGCATTTCTCCACAGTTCTCCTCCCCCTGATGTTCGGTTTGGCGCCACTCATTAGCATTACTTTTGAAATGGGAAGAACTAAAACAGTTTTGAAAAACTGATCTTAAATTCCATTTGTATAAGCTTATTCGTGCGCATCAAAATTCACAATAGATTATAAGCAACGGATAGATTTTGATATACAGATAGACATTACCTTGCAGATGAGATTTTTACAAATGACGTTCTTTTGCAAATCTATTCAAACCAAAGTCATAAAGTTTGGTACTAAATTAACTATGCAATGTTTATTCAATAATGAGTACAGTCCCCTGTGTCACTCTGTATTAGCATTTTCTTGTAAAATGATTTTTTTTTCATTCGATAAAGATTGTTTGCAAACTTAATTTAGATCTTTCTTCCATTATAATAAATACACGACAAACAAATTTTTCTAGAAAGTTACAGGGGTTAAAGTTACAGTTCCCCATTATGTAAAGCTCGTTCTGGTTGATATATTTTGTTGAAACTTGATATATTCGTTACCTGGACATGGGGGAAAGAGGGAAAAAACTGCAATAAAAATAATAGTTCAAATTTCGACCTCCAATTGGAAAATGGCGCATAAAGAATAAGACACATAAGCTGGAAACATGAATCTTTATTTGATCACAGAATTTGTTCAATAAACTTTCTTTTCGTATCAGTCACATGTTCAAACGCGTTATAGCATGTTCAACAGCAACGCGAAGGCTTTGATAAATTGCAGCAACTTGGCATGTTATGCTTGTTTTCATTTCAGGTAGAATCGGAATGCTTCCTCCATAGACACCGTCTTTAGGAGTCCCTACAACCCGAGATTATCTATCATCTCAAACATCTAGAAATTAAGAGCGCAGAAAACAATTATTTCACTTGTCAATATGAGGCGTTGTACCGTTCAGATGATGAGAATAGACCCTAAACATTCCCATTTCTTGTAAGACAGAAAAGGCTTGCTCTCCAATTGCAATAAGGGCAGTCACGACAGTATATATTTTATGGCCTCAAGCAACACTTTCCTGAAAGGAAAAGGAACTAAGAAAGATGTCAGTAGTAATTACACCTCAACGTCACGCAATCAGAATGCAGAGAATATTCATTGGGGCTTGCAGTACTTCCACGTGAGACAGTTCTGGGTATTTACTGCTTCGCTTAGGAAAAAATGCGTCTTGTCTTATTACAAAATATTCCATTGTTAAGGCTATTTTCAATTAAAATCAGTAAGCAAAATCAGCATGTTGAGGGTATATCTTTTGCAACATGGGAATCTTGTATTACTTTAAAAGGGATTGCAAATCTTTTCGTACCGTACATCAAGAGATAAACAAATAAGATGACACCCACTGAGCACTTGTTGAAGACTCTGAGGAATAAGAAGCTCTGCCAATCACATCAAAAGCAACATCTTCTACAGTTTATGTTTCCGTTTTGAATTTGGTAGCACATCCAACTGCCCAGTCTCTTCAAATTTAGTAAACTCTTTTTCCAAACTATTCTTCAGTATCAGACCTTTCCGCAAGCTCTTCAAAAATCGGTATTCTCATACTACAGATAAATTATTGCTGCAGTTCTGATAAAAGCAGCTTGATGGTAAATTTTGATACTTATTTTCTAGAGATATGACGAAGAATGATTTTACAGCATTGACTACTAGCGTTTTGAATAGTTCCTAATTTGTATTATGCAATTCCTAGAGTGAATGAAAAGGGCTATCTAGTGGTTCGAAGTCTAAATTAGTGTTATCTTTAAGTTTTTTTTTTAACCATGTTCTTCATATAACGCATATACTAAGCTTCAACAAAACTCGTCTACTAGAATGGGCTGTACAAAAGTCTGATTTCGGTTATTTTATTTATAACCACCTTTACATGCGTCACCTTGTATGTGACATGCAGGAGAAAAAAGGATTTTCGTCATCAGCTCATTTCGACTGTGGTAAAATGTTTCTAAACACACAAAATTTCAAAAGAAATTTACTTCAAAAGAAAAAAAGAAAGAAAGTGTCACGCTTTAAAAAAACTTTTCATTAACAATACTTTCTTGACAAAACGAATACAGTTATAACCGTAAAAATGACACATTTAATTTAATGATGGCAACGACAGCACATACAGTGTTCTTCAGAATATTTATTTGCCACATATTATCCAGCAGTGGAGTAGAATCTTTAAGCATTATTTAATTTTTCAAACAGTTAAACAAATTCTCCAGAAAGGATCAAAAATACACAGAGATATTTAATTTCTTAATTCATTATAAATGCTTTAAGATCCTCAAAAAGAACCTTATGTATACAAAAGGAAATTGTATGCTCAGTTTATGTATTATATATTCACTTATTATATATACACTTTTATACGTTCATTTATGTGTGCAAGTTGCTGTCACTTGCTTGCAATTATTTCTATTTTTGCAAATAACGTGTACTCAAATTAACTGCCAGGCAATGAATTAGATTTTTAATTCTAAATTACTTCTTTACTTGATGTTATGAATGAATGTCTAATTCATTGCATTATGGTTTGGATGTTATTTGAGGATCATGCAACCACGCATTTCAAAAAGGCGGACCTCATGGAACTGGCTGTTAAAGTTCGATTTCAGAAATTTTGAAAAACATGAAAACCCAACGGAAATTACGATTTACGAAATGTGGAAGAAATTCTTGTTTCATCTGTTAATGAATTAATCGATGTTTTGTTAAATAATGAATAAAAAAAAGTATCATACATATATCAGAGAATTTTGAGGAAAAGGCGGTAATTTTTGCGTTGTATAAGAGATTGCGTTGTATAATTTTTGCGTTGTATAATTTTTGCGTTGTATAAGATTTTTGCGTTGTATAAGAGGAAACGAAAAGTTGCTTCCAATGGTTGAGCAAAATTTGGGTCAGAAAAATATGCAGCATTTTTATTTTTGGGGGCCCACCAGCGCCGAGCGGTAAAGTCGCTGAATACTGGTAGTTCGGTCCGAGGTTCGTATCCCGCTAACGGGCCGGCTGCATAGAGGTTTTCGTGGTTTTCCCAATGTGTAACGTGTATATGAGCCAGTTTCCCTTAGAAAGTCCTCCACGAAAGCATTCCTCTCCTTAGGCAGATAGTCCTCGAGGCTTTGCTATAATCACACACATTTTAATTTTTGATGAAAGAGCCCCGTAAGTCTGGTAACCGAGAGAGGAGAAATGAAAAGAAACTGAAGGTTTTTTTCAGGATTCAAGTCAGTGTTCACGTTACCTTTGGAGAAAACAATGAAAACTTCCGGCAGCCAGCCCGTTCATCAAGATTTTTAATCCACATCAATCTGCACATATCCGGCGATTTTATCAGTCAGCTGCTGGTAGACTTGTTTTTCTGAATCACCTTGTTTTTTTATTATATATATATATATGCTTTTTGCATTTTTATCTCTTCATTCATTATTTTATATCTTCGTTACGGGATCTGATAAAATTGGTGACCAGATTTTCCAAATTGCAATTTCAAAATTTAGAAACTCGCCAAATAACGCTGTATCACCAAATCTCGGTCTTTTAACAATTTTTCAATTGCCTATCTATCATATAATTCTAGATGAGCAGATTCATAGATATTTCTTACAGATTCTTAACAGAATTATAGTTACCGAATAGATTAGACAGCTATCAATCTGAATAGACTTTGATGACGGCGAGATTGTACTCTAACCAAAAGGATGGTTTAAAGGAAATAAACTACTAGATCATTTAGTAAAAAATTTGGCAAAATGCAAGTAAAATGATTTTTGCTTCTGAAGAAGAGAGACAGAACTTCGATTAGACGAAATCAAAAGAATTTTATTCAAAATCTTGACTAATCTAAAGCCGCCTTTTATATAAATTATTGTAAAAATTATTAGCACTACAGGTGCTATTAGTCTTGAAACTGTATTTTATCTGAATCACGTTTCAAATTATTGCCAGAAAATTGGCTTCGTTTGACACCTGACGCTGGCACAAGTGTGCCACCAAATAAACACTTTTCTTTAAATAATATATTGCAGACGTTATCGCGATGTATTATTTAAAAGAAGGTAATAAAAATCTGTATTATGCATGTGTATATGCTTGTTCTTCATATTGTGGAAGAATGACAGCATTTAAAAGAACTATCAAATTTTTAACACACGTAGTCTTCCCCCGGATGTGAGCACCTCGAAGACCGTATTTAGAATTAAAATTGTTTTACACTTATTAGTCGAAACGGGCAATTTGCCCAGTAGACTATTAATTTCGTTTTGGCATTTTGCGTCGATTTACGATAAGAGATGTTTCACTTTTCAAATTGTTGCCACCAAATATTATCGCCTTGTATTATATTTAAAGAAATTAAATAATGAAGAATCTGCATGAATGTATGTATGTTTCTCGCACTGTGATAAAACAACGGTACCTAAAGCCATCAAAATTTGAATAACGTAATCTTCCACAGAACATGGGCATGTAGAAGCCTTAATTTGAATTTGAAATTTGTTTTATTATCGATTTCATATTGTGTTACACTTCAACGAATTTTTTATTAACAAATTAAACGATTTCAAAGCGATGTGCAGGGGGGGGGACTTTTTTATCTTCAGCGCGCGAGACTCTGTATCCGAAATTTTAAAGATATGCTCATTTTAAAATTATTTTGCGGTATTGCTGTTGAACAGAATTTTATGGTTTAAGTGCGATGAACATGATATTAATTAAATAAAGGTTGTTAGGTTATTTCAAAGCAGGAGAGATGAAAAATGAGCAATGCCTTCGCCAGTACCCGAACCACGGACCTCTCGAATACATGTCGAGCGTGGTAACCACTACACAACGAAGGTATGCTAAGAAGGCGGGAGAAATACAATCAATGCAATTTATGCCGGGATGTTGCTGTGAGTACGCGACGTATCCGGCTCAATGTTATGTAGCGAGGCCACGTGACAGTGTTAATTTAAGAAATAACTTACATACTCCCCCTTTTAAAAGGCGACTGGGGATTAGGGGACCCAATCGCCAAATCCTGGGGGCGGAGAATCATCATTCACCACCATTTTTAATTCGGGCGCCACTGTAGAGACATAGGTTATTTTGAAGCAGGAGAAATGAAAAATGAGCAATGCTCTCGCCGGGACTCGAACCACGGACCTCTCGAATACGCGTCCAGCGTACTAACCACTGCACCACAAAGGTATGCTAAGAAGGTAGGAGAAAAATATTATAACACACAAAATGTTAAAAAAATGCCCCTTTGAACGCAATTTAAAATCTGAAATCTTTCAGTTTTTTTTTTTTTTTTTTTTTTTTTTTTTTTTTTTTTTTTTTTCCTAAAAAAATCATATTTTATAAATCTAAAAGACATTTTGGTTAACAAACTGAGCGACTTGAAGTAAGAATTGGCAACACTGTTCAAAATAAAATATATCTATTTCCAGCTCCCCAAACTTGTTATTCTTCTAAATGCAAAGATTTAATTTAATCTACAAAATTCGATGATTTGAAAACAATTTGTTGCCACTGTTTTTAATAGAATACTTATTATCTCCAAGCAGCAGCGTGTTGCTGTTCAGTAAATCCCTAAGATACTTCTCATATTTAATCTTCCTGTAACTGAGTAGCGAACTAAGTGATTAAAAAGCAATAACGCAGTTCTTAAACAATTTTTCGACTTTTTAATCTGGTAAATTTAAATAAAAGTGCATTTAAATCTTGAGATATCTAACTAGAAATATATTGCTCGAAATGACACTAGCTGCACTCGTTAAATTAACATTATTTTTGTCTTTTTTATAATAATTCTTTTAGGCCTTGCCGCTTAGAGGGTTACCCGTAGTTTAGAATTGAGTGACAATTTGGATTTTGGTCCAGTGAAAATTATCCAAAACGTTTCTTCAATTCGTGAATTGGATTTTATGAAACTTTTCATATGCATAAAAATTTATCTCCTTTACTAAATTTTATCCAATAAAGTTAATTTATTTTAATACAGTTCTTCCTTACGCCTTTAGAATTATAATACCTTAATTTTTCATGTTTCGTTCTTTTTTCTTAACAGATGGCGATAAGTTCCTATTCACTTTGCTCCACTGGTTGCTTTCGATATAAATAATGTCCTCGTTCGTCCAATTTTTATCTCTCTTTCTCCTGAAGAAGCGGAATCTTTGCATGATCGCTCTCGAAATCGAAAGAATTTTATTCAAAATTTTCACCAAAATAATGCTGCGGTTTTGCCTAATTTTAAATGAAACACATTTCTAATTTTAGGTCACGTATAGTGTTCACTGCTGTTAGTATTTGACAAGCTATTATTTTACTGTTTTGATTTCCCGTTCAAAATTAACGGAATATCTAAACATCATATATAAACTCACACAACTATCTTAGAAATTGCATTTTTATGCCCTTTGCTTAATATTTTGATTTCAATTTTAACATTATTTCTTTTTTTTTATCTAGCGCTCCATCCACTCGTGCCGTAAGCAGCACTTGGGCTTTTTTCTGCCTGATCATGATTTCTTCTTATACTGCCAATCTGGCTGCTTTCCTCACTGTAGAGAAGTTAGTGTCGCCAATAGAAAATGTTGAAGATCTGGCTAATCAAGAAAAGATTAAATATGGATGCCTACATGGTGGATCTACCAGTGGTTTCTTTAAAGTGAGCATTCCTCATTTCAGTAGAATTGAATGTGTTTTATAATAAAATATTTGCTGAAACTCGATCTTATATTTCTGCGTTGATACTATTTGGTCGCATAATGGTTAGCTATGATTAATTGCTAGTTCAATATGATTTTTAATTTAGAGTAAGGTCTTGGTTGTTTATGTCCGTTTTCCCCTTATTCTCGTGAATGTAGTGTAATTCTCCCCCCCTCCTGCGCTGCATTCTGGGCAATGTTCTCAGGATGAGATAGTTAAATGTCCTATGGGTTTTGGCCATTTCCGGCAAATCATTGAAAAGTATGGGACAGGCCATATGGAAAAAAAAATGGTTTAGTTTCTTGGGGGAAAAAGCTTTAGAATTTCTTTCTGTGTACAATAGAAATGTGCATATTTATCTTAAACCACAGATAACCTCAAAAAAATTACTGCTGGCAGATTTAATTCTAACTTAACTGCTTGTACATAGCATTTTTTAAAGCAGTATGGAAACTGGCCTGATAAGATTAGATTAGCTTATTTAATATGAGCAGGCTCACGAGAGCTATTTCCTGAGGGAAGGAACGCTTTCGTGTATGACCTTCTAAGGTAAACTGGATCGCATTTCCGTTACATACGGGGAAAATCCTTTACTCAGCAGACGTTCGCCGATATTGAAAACTAGTTCGGTATTTAAAGTATTTAAATCTAGTAGGCTTATCAAAAATCACAGCTCCGCAGACGTGCACGTGTACTGTTTTATATTCGGCTTAGAAAATACTTGCATAATTCTTCGGTAGCATATTTAATATATTTGATTCAATATGTTTTGTAAAAATAGATATAATTTTCAAATTCTCTTAATTTTGGACGTGAATGTTATTAGCATGTAAAAGTATAAAGTTAGTCTGAAATGTTATGCATGTCATGTCAAAAAGTATCATTATAACCAAAACAGAACAATGTAACTCTGTAAAGAAAAAGGCTCTGTATGCCCATGTAAAACTTTTTTTTTTTTTTTTAATTTTTGATTTAGTACAAATAAATATCCGGAGGTCTGGGCTTTAATCTGTGTAAGGCAGTCCCACGACTGTCAGGCAACGGAGCTCAGTCACTCTGGCCTTCAGTATATTTTGAGAATGATTAAATTATTTATTCTCCAGATTGTTTCAATAGTACTAGAAAATTATAATAAAAGACAGCCTCGCTACACATGTAAACAAACAAGGGAAAAAAATTAAATTGAACTTTAGGCAAAAAAAATCTGAAGTTGATATTGTTATATGGTGCATGAACTTTCAAGTCATTAAATTCTCCTATACACTACTCTTATTAGTCTTGATTTGCATTAAAACATAATTGTGCATAATAGCTGTTTAACATCGCTACGCTTTCTTGTTAAATTACTTATTAAACAAAACTTAAAGATTAATTCTATTGGATAATCGTTTACGTTTGACCAAATTTTCGTCGGCGACAAGCGTTTCACTCTTCGATTTACGTCGTCAGCGTAATCGTGCGGAGGAGCCTTAAATAACATTAAAACTTGCGCTTACATTAATAATTAATTCTTAATAAAAAAAACTCACGTTTCACTAGTATACTTCTATCTACTTTGAAAAAATATCACCTGAAGATTATTTCAATTCAAATAAGCAAAGAAATCTCGCATTTAAATAATTTTCAGAACAACTACTGTTAATGATAACATTGACTGGAACTAACATTGACTGGAACAACTGTTCCAGTTAATGATAACATTAACTGGAACTAACATATAATAATAACATTCTTAATACTAATACTTAATAATTCTTAATACTTATTAAGTATTAAGAATGTATAGATGGAAACAATTTAATACCATGCAGTATTATTTAATACTAAGTAATTCCATTTAATTAATACATATATATAAGAATATATAATTTGTTAGACTTAATTAATAAAGATATCAAGGCATTACTGTTTGTGAGTATTCCTGTGAAATAATAACAGTGCCCTTGCTGAAATCGAACCATGGATTATCCAGTTTGCTAGCTAGATGTGCTAACCATTTACACAACTAAAGCGCGTGCAGGAAAGATGCCATTATTCCTTACAAACAAAGGTCGTTAAGAATATCGATTAAGTATTTTGACTATCATAGTTATTTAAGCAAATATTTAAAATAAACCTCCGCTATTACTCTTTAATATAAAGTTATTTAACTCGAAATATTCTCTTTCCATGCAGAAAAAGGCTTTATAAACGGGTTTATATTTATGTATTATTTTGTTGTGAATTGGTTTTATTTGCCTCTCGGTCATTACTGTCCATTGGCTTTTATTTATTATTTATTTATTAAATTATATGGTAATTTTATTATATCAAAGATATATTCCTGACCTGACCTACTTATTTATTGTGTTCTTTATGATATATTTAATCTACTAACACTTATAGTTATATATGTATTCCGTTACCAAATTATTGTAGTACCTCTAATTATAAAAATATAAATATTGAAATTGTAAACATAGCTTATGTATTCATAATTATTATTACTATCATAAAATATATTGAAAAAAAGAAAGTTACAGGTTGTAGATGACTAATATATAACACACTCTTACATGGCAAAATTTATATTAATTGCTTTACTGTTATAGAAATCCAACATAACCACCTATCAGAAAATGCATAAATTCATGGAAAAACACGCCAAGGAAGTATTTGTAACAAGCAATACAGAAGGAATTGAGAAAGTCAAAAAAGGCAACTACGCATACTTGATGGAAGCCACATCCATTGAATATAATACTGAACGTGAATGCAATCTTACTCAGATTGGAGGCCTTTTGGACTCGAAAGGTTATGGAATAGCCGTTAAGAAAGGTAAGCAAGAATAGAATATATCAACTCATTTTGTTATTGATGGCCGAAGATAAGTCGAATATTGTTTTTTATTTTTAACGTTTGGGATTTATTTATAAAATCAGTTGTCAGAAAAGTATAGCTGTAATCCCTAAGAAACACAGTAGCATAACGTGTTTTGAAAGTGCATTTTTACAGAGTTTGTTTTACTTTTCATCTGTATGAAATAACTTTATCTGTATGGAAATGGAAGTAGCCAGTTATATATCCATTAATTGACCTAACACTGACAAATTTTCCTAACCCTGTATAGCACTAATACTTTTTTTATATTGCAAATGCACTATTTTAAAATGAAAAATGAAAGAAGCATTAACGAAATTTTCAAACAAACATAAAAATTGTTTAGCACATGTATATTACTTTGTTAAGGGTATATCTGTTAAGTTTTAATTTAAATTAATGAATTTTGTTTAAATTTTATCAATTTTCTTTTGTTTTATTTCTTCACCAAATCTCTTATGTTTCATCTCAAAAGTAATAATAACACCTAAGCGGACTGTAAATTTCTTTACTAATCTTACTATATTTCAAACTCACGATTATAAAGATTAATAACTTATGGCCTTCAATGGGTGGTGTGGCTACAGCGAACATGGTTAAAGAGGACACATACGATTTCGTGGTCAGAGCGGACACTTCGAAACTCATCGTGGTTAGAGTGGACACATCTTTTCCCCCATCTTAGAACAGATAAAAGGTACAGATAGATAAGTAAATAAATACTTTTAAAAATCCCAAATATAATTTGAAACAGTATTTTAAATGGCAAATCTCTTTCGAGTGGGACAACTTTATTTTTACCGAAGTTTTCTGTTTTTGCCCCTGCTTACAAGGATAAATACATTTTGCCAATCAAATTTAATTATTTATATTTAAATTATGATATTATAGTGCGAGTGCATTCTAAACATAACGAAATGTACTAAAAATTAAAACATTTACATATTTAAAAACATTAACAATTAATAGTCAGTATAATGAAGGGTGTGAACAAATTTTAGTACGTCTGGAAAACTGTATTTTAGAGTCAAATAAATATTAGAAAGAACAGGTGGCAGCTGTCATAAAATTAATTAGTTTCATTAATGTAAGTAAAAATAAATACTAGAAGTAAAATATACAAAACAAATACAAGTAAATAAAAGAAAAATAAATAGAAGTAAATAAGTATTAACTAACCTTCATTATAAAGACATAAATATCATTTACCATTGGATTTAGTCCAACCTAGTTACAAAACTTGAAGATTTTAGACATTTTTCTAAATTGTCTGATGTTCCGAATTCTTTTAGGATTTTTCAATTCTTTCATCCAATTTTACATATGCTTTTTTCCTTTTTATTCCAGGGCCTAAATCTCTGGATTTCAAATTAAAAGACACCTTTTGTGTTTCTTCTTTCAGTATTTCAACTAATAAGTGCACATAGGCTGATTTCTGCCAGCGGTTGCATTTAATTTGGAATTCCATCCTTCAGCAGAATTATTTATCCTATGATGTTCTCCATATGCATTCCATACTTTAATGGGCATATTTGGATTGTCCATCCACTGCTCGACAAAATAATCAATGGATGTGGTACGTTTGTCAATGAATGTTCAGTTTTCTTCAGTACTTCGTCTTGAAAAGTTGTCTTTACATTTCCTTTACAACGATGGGCCTTTTCTTTTACACATACCCAACTCATTCCTAATTTATTTTTTCGGTGTTCACGATGTGGGTAATCATCTACAACTAAACATTCTTTTTTTGTAAAGAGTAATTTTGAAATGGCTACGGGTTCCGTCACATTTTTTCGACGCTATAAAACGACATACACACTTCATAAGGATCAAATATATACTGAGAAATTGATAAAAATCTTTTCTCTTAAAAGTATCGGCTTATCTCTACAGCAGGTGCAAAGCTCGAAACCACCACATGACATGTGCCTGATTAGGGAAACAGCACAATAGGTGCAAGAATGTCCGCTCTGCCCACCCAGCTACTCTCACGTGTCCGCTGTAGCCACTGTCCACGTAACCCTTCTATGAGTCTCTCTCGTGTGCCGCCAACGGCGATTCTTATTCATGTCACGTGGCTACATTGCAGAGGTACAAGCGCGAACAGATACGTCCAGTACCAGGTTGGAGATCTTGTCCTAAATTTGCTGCAGGTGAACAAAGACAAAAACATTGAGGTTATCTTCAAGATTTTGACTTGAAGAAGTAACTTACTAATTAAATTTTAAAAAAGTTACAGGACATCAAACTGTCTCGGTATTACTAATATTTTTCGAGTATTCTTCACCAATTTTCGTCAAAGAAATCGTTTCTGGAAATGACTTACCACCATTGCTTTGATTCATTATTTCTAGCATGCTGGTGGTGCTAAAAAACGAAAAATATATAGTTTACCATACTTGTGTCCATTAATGTGCAGTTTTCTGTATAAGTACAAAAATTATGCTTATTCTTAAGTCTGAACATATATATGTGACAGTTACGTAGATGCATTTAAATTATTTACCTGCAACTTGAAGGGCACAAACAGGGATTGGTCACTCTCAAAATAATAAATTATAATACAGTATTCAACTTTCTGAAGCGCAGTTTTATGCGCATTATTGAAAAATTCTATTTACCTCTTCTTCCTGCTGCATTTTTGTATACTTTTAAAGCACTTTCCTAGTGTATTAGGTTATGCGAGTCGCAGAAATGTCACTAAGGTTGGAAGGAGGTTATATTGTTAGTATAAGAATAATTATAAAGCCTGCATATTTAATTATCACTAAAGTTCATTACAATGTTGCCAAAAATATCGCACTCATTAACCTGCAATTAAAAGACTTGGTTTAGCAACAAATTTCCTTAAGTGTAGGAAAACAGGACCTTTTCGAATAACTTCGGCTTGCATATCTAACATGTTCAAGCGGTGTTTTAATTCAGCCACCAAACAGAAGTCCGTTATTATTAGCATTTGCGATAGGAAATTTCGATCAATTTTAGTCTGGTTTGAATTACGGGCAGCACCAGTCTAAGAGCAATCTTTTGAATCTGCGGGTAAAATATTACACGTTTGAGCCAGCTCTTAACGCACGGCATTCAAACTAGGGTTGTACCAGCAGTGATCAGCCTTTTTATCTACTCGACTTCTTTGAAAATAAATAAGCCTAATTTGGCTTGACATAGTTAAATAATCCAGTACAGTCCTATTTCTTGTCATCTTTATTATAATGAAAGATATGTTTTCTTCATTTTAAAGTACATTTATATAAATAAAGCTTATTTTAATTCTTATGTGCATTCAAAGGAAGAGAAATACTAAAGTTTCAAATGAAGAGAAATATTTGAAGAAACGTTTCATGGATTCAACTCTGCATTATTTACATTTCTTGGAAATTAAAATGCATTTGCAGATTAAAAAAAATGATAGATAATTCGCGTCAATAATGTATTTCATGTAAATCAGTGAGCATATCCAATAGAATATAATTTGCATCTTCTTGAGATAATCTTTAACAGTGGATTCTTTTGCAGGAAAACGCAAACTTCGGAACTGGCTAACAGGTGGAATTTTGCGGCTTCAGCAAGATGGTATACTCCATAACATCAAAGAACGCTGGTGGAAACAAAAGAAAGGTGGTGGCATTTGCTCGCAAACAACGAAAGCTTCAGGAACAGTTAATGAACTGGGATTAGGGAACGTTGGAGGCGTTTTCGTGGTTATGCTACTCGGATTATTTCTCTCAGCCTGCGTTGGCGTAGCCGAGTTTTTCTGGTTCCAGAGGAAACTGAGAAGGGATACAGAGGTTAGTCTAAGTTTTTAAACAGGATTTCTACACCTATATCAAACATTTCATTAAGGAATACTGTAGTGATTTCTATCAATAATGCAGAGCACAAAATATTTTACCTTTAAATATAGAATTTAAAAGGAAAACTGACTACAACTATATATACACAAATTATTTTAAATATTTGCATTATTAGAAAACAAATATGTATGATTAAAATTAACTTGGGATATGCGACCTCCAGAAAACCTCTCGCAACTGAATGAAACTACAGTTTTAAACGCGCGAAATCAGAGTAGGTGCAACACAGACACGTCAGATTACTTCTAGTTAAAACCCTCCATGAGGCTCACGTCGGCGAGGAGTCGAACAAAGGAATGACCTAGCCCTTCCATTTATCCCTGTTTTAAGTATACTTAATTTTTATGACGATAAAAGAGAGCGCACCGGAGCCCTAAATAAGAAGGTTGCGGCACTTCTTTTATGTAATTTAATAATTTCAATAGTAATTTTATCTCAAATTTTATTTTTAGCAATAAAATTATATTAAAAATCGCTTATTAAATTTTAATTTATCTCTTTACATTTAATTATATAGTAATTATTGATTAAATAACAATTTATAAACAGTTATTAAATAGCTATTAATTAATTTGATAGTAATATACTATTTAATTAAAAACATTAATGAGTTTAATAGTCATTTTATTTAATTATTTACTCTTGTGGCCTCTTTGCTGACGGTCTACCATGGGGCTCCGGCATTTCTAACTTTAGAAATTAAACCCTGCCACTATCTACTATTTGGCAGTTCTAGTGATTGACTGAAAACATTCAGTACTAAAATTTTGTAAATGCACTATCTCTCTCTTATAAAGAACTTTTCAGAAAGGGTGGAGGGAGAAAGAAAAGGTACCAGAAATTTAAAATGAATAATCTCGTGAAACATGAGGGATGTCTTTTAAGTAAGAGCCGTTTGAAAATAAAAACCAAACGAAAGAAAATTTTCAAAAACCAAATTTATTTTCTGATTCTACACACATTTTTCTATTTTTCAACAAGTTTGTTTAAACACTTATACCTCAGAACTAGATTTTGTATACCCTTGTCACAGAAACTTGCCGCCTGATCTGATAACCAATAAGTCACAGACCTTTTTCACGTCTTTGTCATCGTTGTAGTGGTTGCCATCGAGATAGCGATAAAGATGAAAATCACTCGCCACAAGGTCTAGGCTGTAGGGGGGTGGTCCAAAAGAGTCGAATAAATAGCTCGGGTCTGAGCTGCGGCATGAAGCCTTGCATTGTCATCGAGTAGCAAAATTCCCTCTGTCAGCGTACCACGCCTTTTGTTTAAAATTTTTCTGCGTAACTTTTGCAGGGTTTTGTAGTAGGCCATCACATTTACGGTGGTTCCACGTTGCGCAAGTCGACCAACAAAACACCGTGCCTGTCCCAAAACACGGAAGCCATGATCTTTTGCTGCGACAATCAGCTTGGCCTTGATTCTTACAGGACAGTGTGTGTGTCTCTACTCCATGCTCTGTCGTTTCCATTCGGACATGTGAAACTCACGCTTCGTCTCTCATTACGATCCGACTCAACATGGCGTCACCTTCTTTGTTATAATGATTTAAAAAATTCATCAAACACTCAAATCTTTTGCTTTTGTGGTCCTCCATTAGGAGTTTAGGGACCCAACAGGAGCACAGTTTCTTAAATCTTAACTTTTCAGAAACAATCTTGTACAGCACTGACTTGAGACAGTTCAGGAAATTTGCTTGAGAAGTAGTGCTTATGGTGAAGCATCCATTCTCAAGAATTTTCATTTCAACTGAAGCCACCATATCGTCTGTGATCACAGAAGGGCGAACGGAGCAGGACTCATCATGGACGTTGTTGTGGCCAGCTTTGAAGTCTATGACCCACTTACGCAGTTTGCCTTCGCTCATGCCACTACTGCAATGAGTGAGGCAAACTGCATAAGAGAAGGTAAATCTTCATAAACTTCACAAATCTGCCAGTGAATTTCTACAGCAGACAGGTTTCTTGTCGATAAAAAATGTATCACTGATCGTACCTCGAAGATGGCGGGCGATTCGATAATCTTGAACATTTTAAAGACACAGACCATACAGGTTACTTACACAGCTGTTAAAAAACCTGTCCTCACCACACAGCTGTAGGACGTGGGTGTTTCTAAAGAATGCCGAGACATGACGCAAGTACTCGTTGTGGCACACGCGACACCTATTAGTGTATACACTAAAACGACCCTTACTTAAAAAGCACACTATGTAGATGAAGAAGAAAATTCATATAATCAGTAAACCAAAATTTCCCAATAAATGTTTTTGTCCATAAATATCATAACAAAACATATAATATGAGATACAATTACAGATGAAATAAAAGTTTTTTTTTAATACAATGATGGTGGATTTATCTTATAACTCGACTACCTTCTAAAATATCTTAACTGTATTGCATTCTTTCCATAATACCTAATTCTTAATATTTACTTGTCTTTATTCATTATCATAAATGAATATATTACATTGTTTATACATTACAAAACCTTATTTTTTATTGCAGATATCCTTGTTAAAACTACTGATGGGAGAACTTAAATATGCTGTTACATGTGGCAGCTCATCAAAATCAGCACCTAAACTAAAAACACAGTCTAAAGATGAAGTAACTAGGGCTTTTCCCGGTTACAGTTCACTTCAGTAACCTTAATATATTCTCGGTTTCCTTTTTTACACAAATTTCTATAATACCTCAAGATTTTGTTTTATAATTTTCTGAAAGATTTGTCTGTGATTTGTTTTTTCAAAACATTCAATAAAATACTATTTAAGCTGTAATTATCTTCTATATGAACTTATAAATGAATCCCACAGGATAATATGGTGATCAATGCATTACGACAGATTCCTGTACCATTGGGTCTGGGTTTAAATTTCAGGTAGAATGTGGAAATTTGTGACTGTAGGTAGCCAAAAATTCTCTTAATAATTTAGTGCAGAAATAGAGTGATATGAAACTCTTGGATTCCATTCTCTCTCCAGATAAACTTTAATCTATATTAGGATAAGCATTCAACAGTTATCTATATCTGTGTTTATATAGATAACTGTTGAATGCTTTGCTTATAAAATAATCTAATCCAATCTATGATATAAATGAGGGATTAATTTCTTATTCTAAATTACTTCATCACTTACAGCTGGAAAGATATGACTGAATTTTAAAATTAAGCAAAATTCAACCTTAGACTGATGTTTCTTTTATAAAACAAACTCTTATCATTCTGAAGAAATCTGACAAGGATCTATCTTCTTCAATGCGCAAAATAATGTATGCTACTTTATCAGAAATACACCAATTGATGAAATATAAATATATAACAATAATAAAGGAAAACAATAACTACAGCACAATTTATTCAGTCAAAATAAATTTTCTGTTATAATTGTAGATCAAATTACAGTGAAAGAAAAATATTTCTTTAAATGGATTATTAGAAAATATTTACAAAATTACAAATAATGTTTGGAGAAGAAAGCATTCGCAAAGAATAATAACTTATAATCTTAAAGAGAAAAATAAAATAACAAAAAATAGTAGTTGGAATTAAATTCTGGGTGTTTTCAATAAATTAACTGCACCGTTTTCCTTGTCTGCTAGTAAGTCCTATTCGTCAGCAGTAACCAAAACTGTAGAAAGTGCCACTACAGAATTTAATTTCAAACAAAAGTTTCACCTGCTCTATTTTTCCACTGAGTTTTAATTTGTTTGGCATGTCATTTTTAATCATACTTGTATTCTGCAAGTTATTAACAAATAAGGACGTTTGGCATTTAACTCATTATTCAGGAAGTCAAGGCTTAATTTGTATTTGTGACAAAAAAGAAGTAATTACCTAATGAATTGTATATGTTACAAACTCTGAAACCAATACTTAATCCTTTCAGTAATAGAATGGCAACAGCATAACTGTATTAAGGATAAAAAGTATTTATCTTTCCAATGAAAGAATGTTTTTATAATACAGTAGAGCTTTCTTTTCTGAAGTAGCATAGATAGATCAATTCCAGATAATGCATTTTTCAATAACCCAAAATAATTATTCTTGGAGGTTCAAGATAAAATTAAATATTTTTAATGTTAAGCCAAAGCATATATTATAGTAATCAACATATTAACTTACACTGTACAATCAGTGTTACCAAGCAAAGCCCAGTCTATGGTAATGACAACAAAAGTAGAGTTGCAGAAACAAAATTTAGAATTCTTTATACTTTTTGAGATTGCTATTCTACTGATCACTAAATATATCTCTTAAAACTTTACTGGTATTCTTCCTGGTTTTCAAGATTCTGTTGCTGAATTTCTTTCAAATTTCTGAAGCTACTAAAACACAGAACAATTTAAAATGTGCATTTTATAAAAGGTTGTCTACATATTATTTCTTGGGCTCACGTTTCTCATTATCTAACGTGAAATTCTAACACTGGTCATCATCAATAAATTTATGGATATTTCTACAGTCAAAAGTCGTTAATTCGGACACCCATAATCCGGACCTCAAAGCTACAAACTTTCTGCACATGCGTCGCTTTCACGCATGCGCACAGGCGTTTACGAGAGCGCATAAGACCCTTACAGCTGCGAATATGTTTGTGCGCATGCGCGTTTAATGTGTAACGGAGTTATACGCTAAGCTAAAGTTATCTAATTCAGTTAATGTTGCAGATTGCGTTGTTCCTTAATCTTCGAATTGGATCCGGCTTATTATTTTTTGCAGACTGTTAGAGCAATTTTATAAAAGTAAGCTTGAACTTTCGATTATGTCAAATAGAATTTCCGATATATATTTACTACAAAGCGAAAGTATGTTTTGAAATCCGAAATCTGTTTATCAATTTCACGCTGCTCTGCGGCAGAGGGGGGGGGGGGGCAGAAACGTCATTATTAGATTATGATAGATTAGAAAGATTATGTCAAATAGAATTTCCGATATATATTTACTAATATGTAATTTGTATCTACAAAGCGAAAGTATGTTTTGAAATCCGAAATCTGTTTATCAATTTCACACTGCGGATTGGAAGTTGATCTGTCAGCACTATCCTTATCTTCAGATGTTTTTATTTTATTTGGTTTATAATTCCGTACTAAGTGTAGTATTTCATCTCGATATACTCCGTCTTTGATATGATTTAAATCAAGTTCCTCGTCATTATAATTCGCTTCCGATAATGAAGAAAGTGACCCAGAGGTTATTGAAAACGAAAACATTTCGATTGACAAATTAGTCGGTATTCTCAACACAGCAATTATAGGACTTGAACAGCGGAACTTTGTAACTAAACAAGAAATTGTCTATTTAATAGAAGAGAAAGTATTATCACATGATACGAAGCAACGTACATTGAAGGAAATGTTTAATAAAGTAAACAAATAAATATTAAGCTTTTTCTTTTTGTAAATTTTGATACCCTTTAGATCATAATTGTTCTGTATTTCATAAATTACGGTTTCATATTTTTAATTTTGTAATTTCTGCATGCCATCTTACCAGATTTAAACTGATGATCTATAATCCGGAAAAATCGATAATCCGGAATCGCCGAAGTCCCGACGAGTCCGGATTAACGACTTTTGACTGTACTTGCATTGCTTGTACAGTTTCTTAGTTATCTCAAGAGGTATACAAAAAATTCATGACGTTTGATAAGATAGTCCATGGACTAAATGAAAGAAGTACCTGTCTACATAGAAAGTTTTGCCCTGATCCATCAGTTGGTTCCAGCAAGATTGAACAAAAAACATAAATTAAGAATGATAGATATATTGACATACTTAGTAATTAAAATAAGTGACTATTAGTGAGTTCCATATCCACCTTTGCCATGGCAGCACAAAATGAGGTTCTGATCTGTTCGGTCTAATTTAAAAAAAATGGAAATAGCAATTTTTGCATTATTTGATCATGACGAAGTATATTATGGTTTCCTACCTCAGGAAAGGTATACCTTCCTTAAAAACTTTTTTAGTCCATTTTCACATGCATCATTTGTGAACAGTAATTTTGAGAACATTCTGCATAAAACGGACTTCAAATTTTCCTTTTTAAACTTTTGATTTACATTTTAATCATACCAAGGAAATAATATGATTCAGTAATGTTGAAAATACAGAGTTAAAATTTTATTTTTAATGTTACATGTCATTAAAGTGTCATTTAATAAAAGTGTGATTAAAAAATATAGTTTATTAAAACATGACAAGAAGCTTCATAATATCCCATAATTTATCATAATTTTTGAGTTTCTGAAATCTTCTTGATACTGTCAACATCCATGGTTAACAATTGAAATATTTCCTCACAAAATGGCCAAACATTTGCTCAGGATGCAAGACAATAACTTTTATAATTTAATGAAATCTTTAATGCTTTCTTTCTTAAAAAAGTAAGTATGCTTATTATTTTGAAAGTAATCCTCATAGCTGTTAATACATTTATTCACTGTTGGACAAAATGGTCTATGCTATCATGGGAAAATGTTTTTGGTTGCCTACGGAATCAAGATTGAACCCAGGTGTGCTTCTCCTTTTCCAAAGCAAATCAACTACCATGACGTACCTTTCTTCTCTAAAAATATGGAAATCGCAAGGATAGAGATCTGGACTGTATGGAGGATGCATAAGTGCTTCCTAGTTCTGCAACATAACCTTGATGGTTATGTTGCAACATAACCTTGATGCCAACAGGTGGACGTGCATTATACTGCAACGAAATGATGCCGTCTGTGTCCATTCCTGGACATCTGGACTTGATAGCCCGCCTCAACTTTTGCAAAGTTCCTATGCATCACTGGCATTAATTGTAATGCCATGTTGCAGAAAATCAGTGAGCAGTGAGAGCTTGCAAAAAGAACAACAAGACTTTATCAGAGCTGGCATGCACAGCTTTGTATTTTTTTAGTCCAAAGCAATTTGGATCCAATATTTTTTATTAATTTCGTTTTGGCACTATAAAGGTCGGTTCGCTTTTCAAATTGTTGCCACCAAATATTATTGCCCTGAATTATATTTAAAGAAAATATAATGAAGAATCTGCATAAAAGTATGTATGTTTCTCGCATTGTGTTAAAACGACGGCACCCAGAGCCATCGGATTTTAAATAACAATCTTTCACCGAATATGGGATCTGGAAGCCCTAATTTGGAATTTGTTTTATTATTGATTTCACATTTTGCAACACTTTAATGAGTCTTTTATTAAGAAACTCAACAATTTCAAAGCGAGCAATGAGAACACTGTATGGGGGGGGACAGTTTTATCTCCAGTGCACAAGACTGTGTACCAGAAATTCTAAAGATATGCTTATTTTAAAATTATTTTGCATATGCTGTTGAATTGAATTAAGTGAAAAGAACATGATATTTAATAAATGAAGGTAACACACAGAATGTTAAAAAAAAAGTCCCTTTGGATGTAATGTAAAATCTGAAAGCTTTCAGATTTTATTATTATTATTATTTTTTGGTGCTTTAATTTTTGCTCTCTATGTTTGGTACCATGTTTGGCACCATGTTTATGTATGGCACCATGTTTCATCTCCCATTACAATATGGGACAGGAAACAATATTCTTCACTGTGATACTGTTTCAGATGCTACAATGATATCAACATTCTGTTTAACATCTGCTCCTAGATTAGGTCGTGGGAAACTCACTGCACACAGATTTTTTGGAACTTCAGATGCTTTGTCAAGATGGCATGATGGCAGTACCCTGAATAATACCCAACATGATATGAATGTCTTCCATCATCTGCCATTGATCTTCTCTGACTGCAGCATCCACCATAGCAATAACAGAAAGGGTGAGCCTATTCTTCCCAACAGCTGTCTTTCAATGTCACTTGACCTTCTTGATATCATTAATTATATTCAAACACATGCACATGTCACATACTGTATTCACCATACACAGCACACATTTGGGCACAAATTTCACTTCCTAACATTTCTTCCACAGTCAAAAAATGCCCTACAGTGCACTCATTATCCTTCTTTCCCAGCCTCCATAGTGGCGGACGCACATTTGATCACTGACCTCACTTTGAGCACATCTTGGAGACAAATGACACAGCAGTGAGCATTTCCCTGCTCCTTCCTGATTCAGAATAGTGAGTGTTTCTTTACACAAACCTACCTGTATTATCAAATTCCACGCCATGCTCATTATATAAACTGTCTCATTTTCATTTAACTGCTCCTTACAAATATAACTCGTATATAAACTGGCATAATCCAGAACATACAAAAAGATCATCCCCTAAATAAATATTTATTCACAGTACACAATAATTGCATATTACTTATTAAAATCAATTGTTTTTATTATAAAATGAAACAGTGAAAACTATTGAGTTTAAAAATAACTGGAAATGACTGATATTTTGGTATATTGAGTTAATGTGTTCTCCATTATTTTGGTCAAGCAGAAAATTATTGTATTTTCCTTAATTTTTTTATTAAGACTTTTTCCTGGACCATGAAAATTTATTTACCTTTACTTTTACATTATTACTTTTTAACTGCAGAAATATTGAAGATAATATAAAAGATTTTCTTAACTGATACCTAGGAAGTTTTAAATTGCTAGAGTTGATGTTTAAAAACAATGACAAACAAATTTTGTATAAATATTTAATTAACATATACACACAATGATAAAATCCCTTCATGATTTCTTTCCCTTCAATTTTTCATTGTTAAAATGTTTTGATAATTATAAATACAATAAATCTTAGACATTTAAACATACAAAACTGACATGAACAAATTGCAGGTAGCATTTTGTCTTTCTGCAACACAGATAAAAAATTTTTAAAAAATATTTACATCCAAGCATTTTTTTTTTTTTGGGAGAGAAGGACAAAGAAAAATTTAACCTTTTCTAAGGTCAGCAGTCTTAATACATTACAATAACAAATTCTTATCATAAAGCTCTTCTGTGATATTCTGGAGATGCCACAACATAGTCATTCAAACTGAAGAAATTTGGATTCACCGAAATGTATCTGGAACATGTAAAAATATTACAACAATGTGTTTTGTAATTCTAGAATTACACACAAACATTATATTTAAAATAAAACCATTTTTAAATGACATTATATAAAAAAATAATCCACTATTCTTAGGCAAAACTGGCAAGATCCACTATTCTTAGACAAAACTGGCATAACTTTACATTCTCTCAAAGATCTCGTACAAAACAATTTTATATGGATATAAAAATAAGCAGATAGACTGGAATGTTTGATTTACAGCAAAGCATGCGATGGCTATCTGCTAAGGAGAGAGACACCTTCATGTAGGATGTTTCAAAGGAAAATAACTTGCACTTATATTACAAACATGAAAACCACAAAAATTCTTATGGTAGCCAACCCATTCACCTGGATTTGAACCCAGATCAGATTACTAGTATTCAATAATTCATCTACTTGGCTGCTGATGAACTTATAGATTAATAAAAAAATTCTTCTCCAAATGAAGTTTATGTATAAAAATAAATAGTTTGGTTATCTCAGTATCATATTAAATTATAACTAATGTTACTAATGAACTAATATTAAATATTTTGCTGAAGGATATTAATTTACAATTTAATTTTTTTCCCTAATCTACAGGAAATCAATTTGATAGATAGATTTTGAACCATATAAAAGTGGAAAAGCTGTGGAAAATACATTACGGTTTTGTGGTGAAGCTAATGAAGATCAGAAGAAGTGATATGACTAGAAAAGAAGTTCATTAAAATTTTCATTTGTTTTGCAAATAAAATTTAAACTTAGGATCATCTTCCATATCAAGGATTAATTTATTATATCATTAAATTTTATCAGTATGTGTGAAAAATACTAAATTAATATAAATTTTAAATAATCAGAATAGTTATAACCAATTCCCTAAATGTTTTCTTTAAAAGAAATGTTTGAAATTTTGGTCAATTAATAATTATTGATAAAGTCTCTATTTTTATGCATTACTTAGAAACACACAAAATATATACAATAACAGGTCGACAATGAATGTATGTATATCTCATAATAATCATCTCTCTCAGATGACTACCTCTGAAAGAAAATAGTATTTCTCAGATAATAATTAAAAAGAAATTAATTTGTAGTCCAAAAACTTCAGATTAACAACTCAAAAAATAATTAACATTATTTTTTTTTAAATTTAGAAACATTAAAAAATCATACAAATACTTCAGTCCTTTTCAGCAGAAAGTACAAATTGCTTAGTCTCACAACTGTCGAAGGGTTAATAAATTTGTTGCTAAATTCATCTTTGATATTTTATATGTACAGATTTAAAATTTAATTTTGTGACTAAATTATGTTATTCCTTATAATAGTCATTTATAGCTTCTTTTTAAATAATATAAAAATTAGAAATAAAATTGAACACCATAGCAAGCTATCTTGCTTGTGTTAATTCCAGTGCTGCATAAAAAATTTTGTTTACATATATTGATTGGCCTGTCTGCAGTATAGTAGCACTGTCATCAAATATGCATAATATTACTAGACTATTTTGTTTATGATAATCATTTTGCATTACTTTTTTTTTACATTCGAGTGTAAAAAGGTATTAAAAGAATGGTAAAAAACTGCTATCATAAATCAAATAAGCTAATTATGCTTAGATTGCATTTGTGAATTTGATGAAAGGGGCAACCAGATCAGCTAAGTGCCATGTCCTATAATAGTCTGTATGCAATATTTAGTTCAGAAAATTCTTATGAACTGCTTTATTAGTTGTTGGCTGGGAGAAATTAAAATAAGAAATATTAAAATAATTTTAACAATTCATTAAACACTATACATAATTATTAGTCAAAACTGATAAGAAAAAAAATGAAAAGATAAGAATAGGCAGAAGAAAGAAAATAATTTCTCAAAATTAGACAATTTGTCATTAAAACATCATATCCAGAAAAAGATTCTTCAGTAGATATCATCTCTGTCAATAAGGTTCAGCAGCTGAACCAAATATTATAGGCTAAAGTAACCTTTTGCTCTCATATTTTATGCTGTCAAAAATGCTTTAGCTTTCCGTCGACACAGTGAAGATATAAATAATAATTATAATGGTAATCTTTTATCGCAAGCTAAATTGTTAGGTAAATATGGCAATGTTACGAAACATGTTTTTTAAATACCAGTAAGAAGTGAGCAATATTTGAACTTTTTATATGATAAATCTTCAGTGTATTGGTTATAATTTAGAACAATTTTAATGAACCAGATAAATTCATCTCCCTTCTATTCTTAATTATTTACTTAAGATATACTGAAGCTGGATCAAATGGGTGCCATTTTAAGACTTGTTCATACTGCAAGAGATGACAATTTTAAACTCTTAAAATTTATAATTAAAGATACATTTCTCGGATTTTATGTTGTATAAGATCATTCTTCTGAAGGATTGAAAGAACTCATTCTTGATTTCTTGAATGAAAAAGAAATTTCAATTAAAAAGTGTTATGAGCAAGGATATGACAGTGCTTATGTTATGTTAATGGCCTCCAACAAAAGATAAAAACTATTCAACCAAATGCAGAATATGTGCACCACCCATCTCACAATTTAAATCTCATCATTAATGAAGCTGTAAAGAAACTGCATCTTTATATACATACATATATATTACAAAATATATATTTACTCTGCTAAAAAAATATAAACTAATGGAATTTGTTAAAATTTTACAGTTACATCGGAAATATCTCTAAAAAAATAAACTTGTTTTTTAAGTATGATTACCTCACTAAATGCAGCAAAATTACATTAAAATGATGTTCTGAAAGTTTTCAGTGGAATTGTAAATGGAACAAAAAAGAGGAACATGAAGAAGTGCTGCAGATAAAAAAGAAAATAGCAGATTTTGTATTTATTATTATTTGCATATTTATGTATAAATGTTTATTAAGATTATTAAGTTACCTTAAGATTGTTTCCATGTGGTTTTACTGTTAATACATTTTGTTTATAATAAAAACAATCTTGAATTGCTTAAAAACATTACATAAAATTCAATAAGTTCACTAACAATACATTAAATACCATATTAGTATAGATAATTATGAACTGAAAATCAATTATAAATATATATTTATTTTTTGTCTAATATATTAGACTATTTTAAATTTTGTCATTAAAGTAATTACGCACCAATGCTCTCAACGAAAATTTGCAAACAAGTCAGTGACTTTGGAGAGCATTTATTTGTTTTTCTCTCCCCCCTTCCCCCCCCCAAAAAAAAAAAAAAAAAAAACTCACCAATGAATGAGAGACTTTTGCTTAGATATCTCTGTATTTGTTTCAATAATGCTTCCAGTATAACATATTTCTTTATGTTCTTCTTTTTTCATTTAAGACATGCCCACTTTTCATATTTTTGCACTGTTATTCTAACATCTAACAACTGAGAGCAGATGCTCTCTCCAGTCTTATATAGTTTTCACCCATGCACTGAGAAATGTCTAGTACTTTTCGAAATTACTGGAATTAATATGAGGACGGAGTATGGTTACAGTTACAAAGAACATCAATTACCATAATTCAATTACTATATCTATTATGGTGATACACCAAAATGTTGCCAAATCTGGTAATATTTGCCAATTTCGAGCAAAACATTAGTTGCCAGAAACATTGCCAGCTTGCCGATATCTCGCCAAGTTAGTGACATAGCCATTTAGTCAATGTTAAATAGACTTGCCCCAGTATTCTTACTTTTCTGGCAATCTCCACCTTTTTTACGTTTTCATGTTACATTATGCAAGAGAAATACAACAATTTCACCGAAATTATTTAGCTGCATACAAAATTCATAACACTAGTACAGTCTTTGAACATAAGACTAACAATGCAATAAAAGTAAAGGTAAAAAAGCATAAATGTGTATCTTGCAAGGAATCATAAGAATGAATTTAAAACCCTAAAATTTGATTTAGCAGGTATTAGAATCCATTTCCTTTATACAGTACAGTCAAAAGTCGTTAATCCGGACTCGTCGGGACTTCGGCGATTCTGGATTATCGATTTTTCCGGATTATAGATCATCAGTTTAAATCTGGTAAGATGGCATGCAAAAATTATAAAATTAAAAATATGAAACCGGTAATTTATGAAATAAAGAACATATTTATGATCTAAAGGGTATCAAAATTTACAAAAAGAAAAAGCTTAATATTTATTTGTTTACCTTTATTAAACATTTCGTTCAATGTATGTTGTTTAAGTTGCTTTCGTTTTCATGTGATAATACTTTCTTCTTTAATTCCTATTAAACAGACATAATTTCTTTCTTGTTTCAGTTACAAAGTTTCCCCTGTTGAAGTCCTATGGAACCGCTGTGTTGGAGAATTACCGACTAACTTGTCAATCGAAATGTTTTTCGTTTTCAATAACCTCTGGGTCACTTTCTTCACTATCGGAAGCGAATTATAATGACGAGGAACTTGATTTAAATCATATCAAAGACAGAGTACATCGAGACGTAATACTAAACTTAGTACAGAATTATAATCCAAATAAAATAAAAACATCTGCTCTGAAGATAAGGATAGTGTTGACAGATCAACTTCCAATCCCGGGTGTGAAATTCATAAACAGATTTCGGATTTCAAAACATACTTTCGCTTTGTAGATACAAATTACATATTAGTAAATATATATCGGAAATTCTATTTGACATAATCTTTCTAATCTATCATAATATAATAATGACGTTTCTGCCCCCACCTCTGCCGCAGAGCAGCGTGAAATTGATAAACAGATTTCGGATTTCAAAACATACTTTCGCTTTGTAGTAAATATATATCGGAAATTCTATTTGACATAATCGAAAGTTCAAGCTTACTTTTATAAAATTGCTCTAACAGTCTGCAAAAAATAATAAGCCGGATCCAATTCGAAGATTAAGGAACAACGCAATCTGCAACATTAACTGAATTAGATAACTTTAGCTTAGCGTATAACTCCGTTAAACATTAAACGCGCATGCGCACAAACATATTCGCAGCCATAAGGGTATTACGCGCTCTCGTAAACGCCTGTGCGCATGCGTGAACGCGAAGCATGCGCAGAAAGTTTGTAGCTTTGAGGTCCGGATTATAGATCATTCCGGATTATGGGTGTCCGAATTAACGACTTTTGACTGTATTAAAACTCTGTATTTCAGCCAACAAAAAAGTTGTTTTGTAATTTTGAAAAATGCACTGGAAGTCAGAGAATATGGAAATTTACATTGTAGATGTGCACAACACTGACGATTTCAATCTAAAAGGGGAAAAACAAAATGCATGAACATTCACATTTCAAAAACTGGCAAACCTGCAATCAAGGTTAAGAACAAGATCTCTTTACTTTTATATTTAAATGTATCTGAAGATAATGACGTAAAGCCTGTGTTATTATGCAGCTCTTTAGACACATCAGCAATAAAAGAATAACTCATATAACCTAAAATGTATTGCTCTGTTATGCAAGGGTTTGCTGTGCCCATTAAAAATAATTACCTTCAAATTGTTCAGTATATTAATAAATTTTACATGTAATTAATGAGCGTTATAAATAAAATTACCTAGTGAAATCTTCAAGGTGCTCTACAAGAGAGTGCATGCCCTTCACAGTAGTAATTGAAGTTAACATTCCACCAAGTTTACCTTAAAATAATATTGATATAAATTATATTACTGCAAAAGACTGCACATATTTACATTATTAATTAAAAAATTATGAAACTTTAAAAATTTTACTTTAAATGAGATTTTCAAATTTTATGAAAATAAAAATTGCTTACAAAAATCTATGCAATTATTATTCTGATTTACGTATATAATCTCATAATGTTGTATTTATTGTCATCTAACGACTCAACCATATGTAAACAGCATAAAATATATACAAAAAAGAATTCTTTTATTACCTAATTTTAACTACACATATTAACACATTAAAAACTAGTTTGGTTTGGTTTGGTTTATGTGATTGTGGCAAAGTCTCAAGAGTTATCTGCCCAAAGGGAGGGATGCCTTTGTGAAGGTCTTTTTAAGGGAAACTGGCTTGTATACATATTACACATGGAAAAATGACAAAAGCGACCATACAGACAGCTCCTTCATGGGGATTTGAACTGCGGACCGAATTGCAAAGCAAACAAAAAGCGACTTTAACATTCTGCTACTGGTGAACACATTAAAAACTTACAAATATGCCATAGTAATATTTTTAGTCATACATGACAAAAACATAATTATAGGACTGCAGACAATGATTAATTTTAAACCAAAACTGTCACAGAAAAATAAAGCAAACCAAATGCAATTACTTTTGCATATCATTTCCTTTTTATTCTTTGAAGTTCTGTTAATGTCTTACAGCAATTTGTATATGAGAACACTATTTTTTTTTAAACTTTTAATTAAATAAGACCAGGATAGGACAGTTAAAAATATTTTAAAACTTTACAATGCATTTAATTAAAAGTCTAGCAGAATATTTATTCCATTGTTATTACAAATAGACATATGTGGACAAACTTATATGTTTAGAGTTATCACAAGAATGAAAAACAGTACTATATATAAGAGAATTATAGTAAAAGAAATTAGTACAAATTAATGTTCACTATAACAAATAACAATTTTAAGAAGAAATTGACATTAACAAAAACCCTTATTCTAACTCCAAAATTTAGGAATTCAGTTTTCTTTAAATCCATTAAGTTTGAAAAAGATAAAGCAGCAAAAAAGAGCACAGCATATCTCTAGTAAAATAATTGTATGCAACTTACTCAACATCCGCAGCAAATGAATAGCTCCATATATTTGGCACATGCTTGATTCAGGATATTCTGCAAGCATCTGCAAATAAAGTAAAGCATTAAAACTTACAACAACACAATAATTCATCATTTTAAAGTATAGGAACAAGTATTATATATATAATGACTTCACTTGATGACCACTTACCAAAAATAACAAGCTCTGAAACAGAGCAGTTTTTATGTTGACAGTCTGAAACACTTTAGAATAATAATAGAAAAATAAGCAAATACATTATATTTATCACTTACCCCAACATTTATAACTACAGATCTTTAAAACTGCATTATCCCAGATATTAAGAGTGTCAACAATTGTATTATTTGAGAATGGAATATAATTTTTGAAATGATACATTAACTTAATCCTAAGAGAGCTCTTCCAATTTCTGCATTTTATTACAAACACACTAAAATTGCCAGCCAGTTTTCCGCATTTTATAGAATGCCTAGGTATTCTATAGAATGCTAGATTTCATACTTTGTTGGTAACATGCATAATTAATTGTACTAGTATTTTCTTATAATTGAAATCTCTTGCAATACTGATTTAAAATATTGGTTTAGAGACAGTTAAAAGGAAAAAAAAAAATAATACTCTTGCCTAGAATATCTGAATAATGTTTATAAGTTACTGAATAGTTATATAACAGTCAGATAAGAGGCTGAAAACATTTATAACTCAAAACATGTTTTCACCAATTTTTAAAACCCTGAATATAAATCAGATTTTCTTAAATATGGAAAGTATTAATGGCGTTTCGGAAGCTAATTTATTATCACGAAGAATAAGGAAGCTTAAGGAATTACCAGTAGTAATTCCTTTTAATATTCCTTTTCACAACAAACTAAAAAAAATAATGCTTTTGAGGAGGTTTAGTTATTAAGAAAAATATTTTGGCACTGCTTCAAGGATGCCCCAAAATGTCTTTCTTGAAAGCAGCCCAAAAATGTAGATTCTAATTAGGATTTTTTGAAAACACCGATTTCCATACACAGAGATACCAAAAACAGGGTTGCCACTCAAACAGGAGAATGAAATTCCCTGACTTTTCCAGGTTTTCCAGGTGCGTTTCAAGAAAATTCCAGTCTATCCGCGTAATGTACGTTGGCTACGCTAAGAGGTAAATTATGGTATTACTTGTATTATGTAGCAAATTCACTTAATTATTCAATAAATCCCAGAGGACATTTATTCTTAATTATTCTTGGTATACTTTGTTTGATAATTTTGTTTACTTTTCCACTTAAGAAACTTAATAAAATTTAAGATATATACATTGGATAACAAATGTATGTTTTATTTAATTATTACTCATGATCATCACCAGTTCAACACGAGGCTAATCCGGTCCTTATAAATCACAACGCAATGCTAAATAGTTAGGTTAGATTTTAGGTAAATTTAATTTGTGTGAGGTATGTTCTTAAAAAGCACCTTAACACTTGAAAACACAAATATAATTATAATAGTTGTTGTTTTTTCCTTTTCTCCATTGAAGATTGAGATTAGAATCTTCCCAATCTGGAATAAAATAAGGCTTTTTTTTTGCAGACATTCTGCAGCTAAACGAAAGAAGAAATCTATTTTAATAAATTGAGGTATTTTATATTTAGTTCGCAGCATACATAAGAAAAAATATGTGCATTAAATTTCGTGATGGTATGTCATCATACTGCTAGAATTAATTTCAAGATTATGCCAGAGAAAATTTCCTGAAATTTAGAAATATTATTTACTAATAATTAAATAAATTTAGAGGGAAGAAGCATCATTAAATTTTACGAATAACATAAAATAAAGATAATTACTTAAAAATTGAATTAGAATAATCAACGAATATTTTAGCGAATATAGTTATATTACATGGTTAGCCTAGATGACAGATTACTATTTTTTTATTTTACTGCAAAATGGCAAGGCATTTATTAAAAAGAAAAGTTTAAAAAGATTTTGCGGTAAAATTCTAGTATACGGTAAGGCTTTGGCACGATTTTGAAAATTGTCGCCAAGACCAAAATGACACGTTTACTGCGCATCATCATGTCGCCAAATCCATACATGGAGATTATTTTAACCAAAAACCTGGACGTCTATGCAAAGAATCTCTAAGGTTCTTTAACCAAAGAATGTCTATGTAAAGAAGAAAATTTTCCATACAAGTAAAATGCTATTACGCCGCTAGAATGCGGAGGGAAAATTTGCCAAGGGATTTGGCGACGGAACCTGGCGGCCAGAATTTCCCTCTCCGCGATGTGTACCGGAAATTGAGAAACGTGTTAAGAAGAAACGTTCTTTGACAAAAAGAAAGCTAAAAAACGAAATGTTTCCGATTTGTAAATTATTGCGAAAAATCCAAGAAGAAACGTTTTTATCAAAGGACGTTTCTTCTTGGATTTTTCGCAATAATTTTAAAAACGGATTTTCGTAGTTCCCCCCCCCCCTGAAAATTACTAACCTATGAATTAATTTACTTGCGCCAAAAAATATTTCTTTTAATTTGGAGTTTTAACTACTTGCGCTAAGACTAAACTTCACGGTTGCGGTGCCGTGCGCTACAATATAGCAAGTGGTAAAGTGTCTCATTTACGCCGCTCCGCATCTGCGAGTGCAATCCAGAGCTGTAACTCGAGAAATAAACAATCTCGTTGTTAGGCGACGTGTGCACCATGTTATTTTCATTTTTGCGATAAATGCTTATCGACGTGGTGTTCACGTCGCTCGCAGTTTGAGACAAAAGGCACGTCTTTTTAGCGCAAGTGGTTAAAGAAATTTTAAAGGATATTCATTTAATGAACTCTTGATAACGTGACCTTCGAACTTCGACACCGGTTTCCAGCTTTGGCGGCAGATATATCACGCATGCACAGCTGTTTCCCTCTATGATGGAACGGAACCACGTCTGTTGCAGAGAGGTTTTCCTTCTTTACAATACATATTCTTTGATTCTAACCTCCATGGTACCGTATACTAAGATTAAACCCATTTTGTTTTATACGAGAACAGGTACTTTCTTTAGTTCATGCAATGCACATGCGATTCTCGAGAATACTGGAAACCAAAAGTTGCGGGAAACTTGCTTTGCCTTTCTAAAAGGCAATCAAATTGGAGATGCGAAAATTGGCTCTATGCCAGCAGACACTCACATGATAGGCAATTCGCCAAAAAAGTTATCTCTTCCGACGTCGGCGCAAAAATCGCTTTTTTTGGCGGAATCATTGTATGAACTTCCCTGACTTTTCCAGATTTTGACAAAAATACTTACATTCCCTGACTTTTCCCTGAATTTTTTGGTCAATTTTCGAATTCCCTGACTTTTCCCGGTTCTCCCGGTTTTCCAGGTAGCGTGGCAACCCTGTAAAAAGAGTGAAATGAAAGCTTACAGCCATTTCATTTCACTCTTTTCTCATATCTTGAGAACTCATCTATGGGAAATTTCTAAGGAAAGTCCAAAAAAGATTTCTCTTAAGATTGCTTGTGGCTAAAGAATTCTTAATTATGAGGCTTTTTTGTTACCTGTGGTATGTATGCTGCCTATTGATACTGAAATGCTGAATAATGTTGCAATGAAGGACAGTATTTTTATGCATTCTTTGTCCAATTTTCTTGATGGCACTCTTCTGATTTCTTTTCTGTCACATCCTATGAACAGGAACCCTACCAAATATTGTCAATTTTGATGTATTCTAGAAGAGTACTAACTACTTTGTTTTACTGACAGAAGCAGGATGAACGATAAAGCTGGCCTTAGTTTTCTTGCATATAAAGATAAACATGAAAGAGACTTCAAATGATAAAAATTAGGAATGAATGCTGTTTTAATTAATTCTTGTTGTGAAATGGATTCAAAAGTCTTGCACTGGTTTTGATAAGTACTGATTATCTTTCCTTATTACAATTAATATGCAAAATTGGTGTCACGGAAAAGCTTGCAATAAAATTCAGACAATTATAAACATTTTACAGGATCTTAAAATCCTCATAATTAGCTTTATGTTTGTAGATAGCAGGGAATTTTGGAAATCAGAGGGCAGGTGATTTAGTGAAATTAGCCATAAATCTTTATTTTGGCTTAAATCTCAGTGTTCCACATTCTAAAGATGTTATCAGTGTTTGCAAATTTTTTTTCCTGCATTTTTTCACCAAATAAAAACTAATAAATTTTTAGTAGATTTTAAATTAACATATTTTGTCTGAACATAGCAATTTTAAGTTTTATTTAAAGTGACCTGGACTTGCTCCAACTATGCTATGTGGCTGTAATAACAGTGATGAAGATGTCAATATTTTTCCTGAGGTGTATTCGCCAAGTGCAGCAGAGACTGCAAAGTGGCACAGCACACTTGCAATACAGATAAGATAGCAAAATGTTCCTTGTAACAGCTGTCACTCACAACAAAGGCTGTTAGATATGGCCTGATACTCTGCACAGCATCTAAAACGTTCAGGTATAATTCCTGTTACATGATGGCAAATAGTTTTAGCCAAAAATTTCCATGTTTTTTAGAGCATTTCTATAAAAACCAAATCATGCTACTGTCTGAGTTACTGAACTTTTATTTTTCCAGCTACTTTTAGATCACCATGAACTTAATAAGCTTACTTTCATTTCAGTATAACAAAGTTTGGTACAGGTAAGTACTCATTTGTTAAGAATTTTTAAAATGTTTGAAGGACTTATGTATAACCTTATATCCTATATAGCCAAATTTCTCCACCAGAGGAGGGGAGAGGGGAACTCCACATAAGTTTAAGATCTATTTTAAATGATGCACTATATACCATTCCTTTAAAACTTCTGAAGAGTTCAATTTTTTAAGATATACACGACTATTTTTGGACTAACTATGCTTTCTAGTTTTAAGCAGTAATTAGAACATGATAATCTTTGGTTAGGTGCATTTGCTTTCACATTTCACACATTTCAAAGGGAAAAATATTTCAGTCCAAAAGATCAGCATACTGGTATCTCCTGTTAATGATAATATATACATCATATGAATTTATCCAAGCAATGTGTTCAAAACAGATATGCTACACCTGATAAATATAGCACACATCCTCAAATATTTATGCATTCATGTACGCATATATGCAACAGATACATAAAGCATGCAATGAGATAATGCCTTCCTTTATATATTTTGTTTGATTTGCCAAACCCTCAACCTGATTAGAATATTTAAAGGCTTTTATTCATAAATTTAGCATTCAACATTCATTCAAACTGAACATGAAACTTAATATAAACGATATAATTTCATACACAGTATAGAGACTTATAATATTATTTTCATATTGCCATCTACACACCAAAATCATGCATAACAGTTGCTTTAAGAAATATGCATTTAAGTGTCATGCACTTGGTTTTTAAATCATACGATTTTAAAATTATTCACAGAAGTTGGACTTCATAGAAGAGAAAGGACAACACAAAAAATGAATGTACACTGGGAAAAAAAATTGCAGATTAGCGACTTTGGCATATAATCGATAACATGTAATAAAGAATAAATAAGTTCATCAGAATTAAATATTTTGCTTTCTATATAAATAAAAATAAAGAAATATCAGTAATCCTAAAAAATATTAACTTTGCTTAAACTTACTTCTGCATATTGTGGTCGTTCAAATTTATACAACAGCATTTTTCCTAGCAGAACATTGAAACAATTTCTAATTTGGTTAGTTACTGTTACTATAACAGCTTCCCTATAAAATAAAAATTCAAAAATTCAATTACATATCATTCTAGTAATATATGTATATAATATATATATATATACACTCTTTTGCAGAAAAATTGAAGCACCAAGAAGGACTTCTGTAATTGTGATGAAATTTGGTATGCAAAAACATCTCGATCAAACATGCAAATGATCAATGTTTCAAGGCAAATGAACAGGAACTGCAATCATGGCGCACATTTCTACTGCACAATTCGCAAAGTATAAAAGCAGTAAGAGAGGTGAAAAATTTATATATATATTTTTTTTATTATTGTTGCTGCCATTGTAATTCTGTAAAGAAGCAACAAAAGATGTCATTACGACGATATCAAAGACCTTACAGATAACTAAGCGACTTCGAACTTGGTCACATTGTACGGTTGAGTGAAGCTTGATGGTCATACCAAGCAATAGGCCGCCACTTGCAACGTAAAGACACTGCTGTGCAAAGATGTTGGCAGCAACGGTTTCTACAAGGAAATTGTTGATGAAATGAAGGCTCTGGAAGGCCAAGGAGCACAAATGAAAGGCAAGATAGGATGATTGTTCGCCAAGCCCAAACTGCCTCAACGGGTATCATTGTAGACTATTCAACGCACTACAGCCACGTCTATACCTTCCATGGTACTGCCCACCATATCATGGTCCTTGTCTGAGGTGGGGTCATGCTCACAGAGGCCTTTAAGACATTTGCCTTTGACCCCACAACATCAGCGGAGTCGTCTGGATGGTTTCACAGTCGATCATCATGACTGCCATCAGACTGGCATCGTATAGTGTTCAGTGATGAATCCCGCTTCACTCTTGAAGCAGATGACCATTGTGATCGTGTCTGGAGAGGATGGGGCCAGCAGTTCCAATCAGCCTTGTTTTACAAAGGCATACAGACAGGTGCTATTTCTTACGACAACAGGTCATCTTTAGTCATTCTCCATACATCTTTAACAGCTCAACAAAATGTTGTTATCATCCTGTGGCTGGTTGCATTACCCTTCATGGCACATCATCCTGGGACCATTTTCCAACAAGATAATGCCAGGCCACATACCGCTCACATATCTCTGGACTGTCTCCGTGCAGTTGATACTTTTCCTTGGCTAGCAAGAAAAATATTGCAGATCTGGAGCAACAACTGATGTATGCCTGGCAGAATGTGTCACAGGATGACATTAGGAACTTCTACCACTCCTTGCTTCAACGAATTCAAGCATGCATTGCCACCATGAGCAGTTCGATCAACTTTTAATTTGAACACTCAATGGGAGATTGTGATCCGTGAACAAGTAATATAACTGATTTTTTAATCATTTTATTATCTGTGTATGAGCTATACACATAGTCAGTTTCATCAAAACCAACCATTTCCTTCATGATGCTTTGATTTTTTTTTGCAAAAGTGTGTATATATATACAAATGCACAAATATATATATATATACAAATGCACAAATATATATATATACATACGCACACACACAAAGCAAGAAATTTAGAACCTAATTTCCAAAGACATGAAAAAATCAAAACTGGTAAAATTTCAAAATTCTTGCCCCCCAAATATCAACTCTTTTATGATATTGGTTTCAAACTAGAAGAAACTCCGAAAACAATATAAAAATACAAAAATAGTATCAGGAATTCAATCAAAACCTGATTCAATGCTATCAAGAGGAGGTAAATCAGATTCAATTGAATCCCTCCTCCAGGAAAACCATTGCGTTTCTGTTCATCCAAAATTAGCTGATGAACTAGTTTAAATAGTTTAATTATAATAAATCACCCAAAAATTCTTGCCTTTCCGACACAATAGATTTTCATTCATATGAAATAAAAATGTAAAAAGGTACTTCCATACAAATTCAACATAAAAAAAAGTAAAAAAATAGACACCTATAGACATAGAAAATTTGAATTAAAATTAAAATTAGAAAGTAATATAACTAAATACAGTCAAAAGACTTTAATCTGAACGTCCATAATCCAGAATGATCTATAATCCGGACCTCAAAGCTACAAACTTTCTGCGTTTACGCATGCTCGTTTAATGTATAACGGACTGTATAAGGTAAGCTAAAATTATCTAATTATCTATTTCAGACTGCGTTGTTCCCTAATCTTCTAATTGGATTCGGCTTAATATTTTTTGCAGAATGTTAGAGCAATTTTATAGAAGTAAGCTTGAACTTTTGATCATGTCAAAAAGAATTTCTGATTCTGGAGCTGCCAAAGGATCTACAAAGCAAAAGCATGTTTTGATGTCCATCAAACAAAAAGTGGAATTGCTGCAAAAAATGGATAAAAGCATATCCTTTGTTTCTCTAACCATTCCAAAATCTGTTTATCGATTTCACGCTGCTCTGCCGGGGGGGGGGGGGGACGTCGCAGCGCGCAATCAACCGGAAGTTGATCTGTCAGCACTATCCTCATCTTCAGGGCAGATGTTTTTATTTTATTCAGCTTATAATTCCTTACTAAATGTAGTCTTTCATATTGATGTACTCCGTCTCTGATATGATTTAAATCAAATTCCTCGTCATTATAAATATCACGAATACACATCAAATAGTTTTCTGGTTGCAATTTTGTAATTTCAACTATGCGTAATGTATGCTTTACGCATGCACGCGTTGAAAGAAATGTTTCATAAAGTAAATAAGTATAAAGCTTTTTTTTTTTGTAAATTTTGATACCCTTTAGATCATAATTGCTCTTTATTTCATAAATTACGGTTTCATATTTTTAATTTTATAATTTCTGCATGCCATCTTACCAGATTTAAATTGATGATCTATAATCCGGAAAAACCTCTAATCCGGAATCGCCAAAGTCCCGACGAGTCCGGATTAAAGACTTTTGACTGTATATAATAATTAACACCATAATTTTAAACTCACCACTGTCAGGAACAAAGGAACAAATCAGCTATCAAAAAAGCAAGTGTAGATGTTAAAGGTTGCCAGTTTGGCACCACTGGTGAAAAGATTATTATTGCTGAATGTAATGATATCATCAATATACATGAATGCATTTTCAAACTTATTGTAATCATTTTCAGAAAGGTTTCTGAGAAACTTAAATTCTTTAGAAAATGAAAAGAGGTTACATAAGTAAGTCGAAAAAGAACTTCCTATTGGAATACCATTTGTTTGTAGGAAATAATGTTTGTATGCTTGATAAAGTTATTAAAAAGCGAAAAATAGAGAAAATATTTCCATTTTTGTTAATCTAGAATAGTAAGCATTTCAGAAAAAAGATCTGGAAGTTCAAGAAGACTTTCACAGATTTCTTTAAGTGGAATTACTATAATCAAAATAACAAGTTTTGTTTAATAAGCCTAATTTTAAGAAGAAAGTTGTTGTTGTTATCTCTGTGTTACATAGAACAATGGTTGCCAGAGCGTACTCCAAAGAGAGGTGGGACTTCTATTTTTCATGCCCAATTTTGAGGGAGAGCATCCCGAAGGTGGTTTCCCCCCCTCTCCACATTCACCAATCCACATGAAAGGACATTTGGCTCGCTACATATTTAGAGTGCTGCCATGCTGCACCAACACTATACATTTACAAACATCCATGTCTTCTCCGGAATTCGAACCCAGGCCCTTCGGTACCATAATAGGCTTCCCTAACCACTATACTGTCTGGGGGACAAGAATATTGCTGACAACCTTTATTCATTCCCTCATGGGGATCTACGTACGATTAAATTTTCTTCAAGTTTAGAGGAAATAACTTTATTAAAGATTTAGAACTTGACTTTATCAAATGAAAATTTAATTCATCTAAGTACAAAAGATTCTGTACTATCAACTTTCTTCACAAAAGTTCTGTTGATCTCAAACTACAAAAGATCTTTAAACAAGCTCAACAAAAATTCTCTTTATTGCTGGAATTTTTTTTAGTCTAATTGCCTGCTTTAAGTACAGTAAAAAACTGAGTAGTAGTATTACCAACCATCATGAAGGAGATTTTTCTGCAATTTGACATTTTAATGAAGAGAGATTTCTATCATATGTGGGTAAACAACATAAGCATATAATTACAGGAAATCTAGACATAACATAAAATCAAGAATTAAAGCAGCTTATGAAAAAAAGGTACAAAATTTAGATCACTGAAATACATAGCTGAATTCAATTGTTTTAAAAGCTGAGATTCCAGAGTCTTCTTTTCAAGCTAGGCCATTTAAAAAAAGAAAGCGAAGCTGTCAATCTACGTGCACATAGTGTCATTTCTCCATCTCATATTCAACATGTGAAGTAGCAATTCTAATACTACGCACTTTTTATTCAAGTGCTTTATCAATTTCATCAATTTTTTTTGGCTTTACCACCAAATTTTTCCACCATACATTTGTAATAGCAGCCGAAAGCATTTCAGCAGATACTGACAATTTCATATTCAGAGCAAGTTCTTTGAAAGTTTATCAACTCATCTTTTCCAAAGCAAAAAGAATATTGATAAAATTAAAGGATTTCATGAACTTAAAAACTGGAAAGATTTATTTCAGAAGTTTTTGCAATTGAAAAAACAATTTACTATAACCAAAACTGATAAAACAAGCAAAAATTTTAGTATTTTATGAAAAATGTTCTATAATTCTCTTATTGAAAAGGAGTTGCATAATTCAACAACCTACTGTACTTCCAAAAATAAAAGTCAGTAATCAACAAATTAATGCTTTTTACAAAAAATGGAAAATTTCTCTTTATATGGTACAAAGTCCGTAATCCAGACTTGTCGGGAATTCCGGATTAGAGGTTTTCCCGGATTATAGACCATCAATTTAAATCTGGTAAGATGGCATGCAGAAATTATACAATTAAAAATATGAAACCGTAGGTTATGAAATAAAGAGCAATTATGATCTAAAGGGTATCAAATTTTACAAAAAAAAAAAAAGCTTAATATTTATTTGTTTACTTTATTAAACATTTCTTTCAACGCGCACATGCTTAAAATATAATGTATGCGTATTCTTTACGCGCATTTGTAAAGTTTGTGGCTTTGAGGTCCGGATTATAGATCATTCCAGATAATGGACATCCGGATTATGAACTTTGTACTGTATTGCAAAAGATAGATTTGTGAATTTGTATGCAATTCCAAAATTTCATAAAAATCCTGTAAAATTTAAATTTATAGCAAACAGCACTAAGAACTATAATACGAATTTTGATAATATATCAGCTTAAATCAATATGTAATTTAGTTTTTGGTAAAGCTAATGCTGATAAGCACTATTGCTGGGTTATTAACAGTAACTTTCAAATGACTGAAAAAATTAAAAAACTTAGTTTACAATATAAACTGCTATAACTTTTAAAATCTCCACACAGACACATCTCTTCTACTTAAAAAAATCCATGAAAGTCTTCCTGAACTACCAATTTTTTTCCCTGAAACGCTTACTATTCTAGATCTAGAAAAATGGAAAGATCATCTCTATTTCTTGCTTTTTAATAACTTTATCAAGCATGCAAACATTACTTACATACTAACGAATGGTATTCCATTGGGAAGTTCTTATTCGACTCCCTTATATGCCATCTATTTATTTTCTAAAGAATTTTAAGATTCTCAGAAACCTTTCTGAAAATGATTATAATAAATATGAAAATGCATTCAGTTATATTGATTACATTTAATGTATATTACATTCAAAAATAATAAGCTTAGTGAAATAAGCAACATATACCCAAATGTTTAAAATTTAACATGACCAATGAAAATAAATAATTGTAGATTATTTGGATCTCAAAATTTATAATCTTAAATAAGACTTTTTGATAAAAGAAGGGAATTAAATTTTTCAACAATTGAATTCGAATGCCAGTTTCTCTAAAAACGTTATTCAAACACAATTTTTAATCAAATTACCAGAATTACAAAAGTATGCACAGAAAGCATCAGCAAATGTGGAGTGGTCTACATCCTATAAAATTTTTCAAAGTAGTGACCTTTTTCATTTGAAAGCTCAAATAAGAGAAGGATAAAGAAAGATGTTTTAGAGGGTTATATAGTGTACTTGTATTTATAAACATATTATTTTACATTTTCCTTGACTATATTTTTATTAACAAATGGCCTACTGTATTCTAAGCCTTTGCGATAAGCACATAATGTGAAAATTTTAATCTTTTCTAACATTTTTGCCTCTTTTTTTTCCTTTTTCTCACTTGCATTACTATAATGCTTTTCAAAATCTAAAAATAGAAATTTCACCTTTTGGGAGATTTCAAACTTTACATCAATTTGTTTTATTTGTCAATTTGTTTCACCAATGGTGGCAAACTAGCAACTTTTAGTGGCTACTCTCTTTTTGATAGCTGTCTTTTGTTACTTTGTTTTTGAGAGTGGCGAGTTCAAAATTATGGTTTTCAGTTAAGTATTATATATTTAGTAATATACATTTTAATTCAAATTATAATTCAATATGTGTGCCTATTTTTCTTCTACTTTTTTGGGTGTTGAATTTATTTCATATGGAACTGTTTTTGTGCATTTCTATTTAATATGAATGGAAATCTCCTATGTCGGGAGGCATTCAGGATTTTCAGATGAAATATTAAAATTAAATTATTTAAGATAGCTCATCAGCTAATTCTGAATGAACAGAAACGCAATGGTTTTCCTCGGGGGAGGGATTCAACTAAATCTGATCTACCTCCTCTCGATAATGTTGAATCAGATTTTGATTGAATTCCTCTTCCCATTTTTATATTGTTTTCAGAAATTCTTCTGTTTTGAAATTAATTAACTGATGTTTTTTATTGGAGAAATTTTGGGATTGTACTGATTTTGATTTTGTTCAGGTCTTGGGGAATTAGGTTCTAAATTTCTCACTTTCTTGTCTGCAACTGATGAATTTTTCAGCAGCATATTGTGCAGAAATAATAATGGGATATTTTTGTTTAAAGAAAAATGTGATACTGTTATATATACATGTAAGATAAAAATATGTATATGAGTTTTATACTTTAATTTAGTAATAGTCTCTTCCTTCCTTATTTTTAATTTGAGTAGCTCCTCTCTCTGTTCTAAAAATAATATTAACTTTTCTGGACTGCACCATTTCTAGATTAATCTATGCCACAAAGCTTATTTAAAGCTGATGACATACCTTATTCAGAACCTGAATACAAAATTTTGAGAACTCAAACTTTTCAAACCTAAACCAAAACATTCTCTTGGTGAGCTTCCATATTGGATAATTATGAACTTTTAGCGCTTTCGTGCAGTCAAAATGCTAGTTCACTCCATCTGCTTTGTGGTGCTACTAAATATGCCATTATCAAAAATGTAATACTCTATATAAAATTGTGCATGTGTGGTGAAGAATATGCTTTTGATAATTAATTCCACCATTTTTATCTTTTCATTTCCAATTTCTTATTTTATGGAATTGGAAGGCATTGCATTACTTCTAAGCAAACATTTCCATCAATATGGCTATCCACTTGAGCTAACTAGTGTGTCCATTCTGCACCAGTACTCAGGGATGCTAAGGCACATACTTGAAAAGGTTCTAACCTAAACCAAAACCTTCTCTTAGTGAGCTTCCATATTGGATAACTGGACACTTTAGCTTCTGTTTAAGATGCTATTTCCCTTGCTTTCTTCCTATTGTAGCAGTATTACAAAAATGTAAATGTTCTTGAATGGCATAATTAGTGCCAAGTAAATTGCAGCCACAAATGTCAATTGAAATAAAAATGATGATTTAATCAGTCTCGAATGCCATGTTTGCTGTTCATTACGGAGTCAACATTTTAGCATTCTGTGCAATCAGAATTCTTTCTCTTCAATATGGATTTATGTTTTATGGCACCAGTATTTACTATGTTTTTTTCTACTGTTTTCATCACATACATATCTGATATAAACAGGAAAATTAATAGAAAAATATAATTAATTACTTTGCTGCAGATAAAGCCTTATCAGAAACCTTTTCTTTAACATAACTTGCAATGATATGATCAACTGTTATTCTGGCAGGCAGTTGTAGTATCTGCATTAAACAAATAAGTTGTCATTTAATATAGCCCTTTTATATTATAATATATATACAGTGGTGGCCAAAATTGTGGACACTTTTAGAAATTTTTATGTTTTTGAATTTTGTATGCTTATAGAAAACGTTACGTTTCGCAAAATGCAAACTTGTATATATCATTTTAAAGAGAATTTATTACTGAATTCAATACAAAACACAAAATTCAATTATTTGCAATACAAAAAAGTTAAACGATAATAGTTATCAATATACATTAGATAGTGACGATTGCAGTAAGTTATCAGTACTTACTAGGGTAAACTTTATTTTTGATTACAGCTTCACATCGACGTTTCATTGAGCTGATAAGAGTTTTAAGGTCTTCTTCCGTTATTACATGATGCCAGGAAACAATTATAGCCTCAATTATTTCCCTTTTATTTGATGGGCACCTCATTCGGACAAGAGTTTTTAAACGGTGCCTCAAATTTTCGATAGGATTGAAGTCAGGACTGTTTCCTGGTCATGGCAAAAATTTAATGCTCTTTGTACGAAACCACTCTTTCAATATTTTGGTCGTGTGGCAAGGAGCAGAATCCTGCTGAAAAATAAACGAAGCATTGTTGGGAAAGAGATCTCTGATGGAAGGTAGAAGTTTTGGTTCTAGAATAGTGCCAATGTATTTTCTGGCATTCAGTGTCCCATCGATGACATGAAGGCGACCAATACCATCTGCTGATATGCATGACCAAATCATAACACTAACTGGGTTCTTCACAGTTGCTTGAATGCAGTCAGGATGTAGCTCTTCTCCTATTCTACGTCTTACATATTTTTCCCATCACTACTGAATAACGATATCTTAGTTTCATCACTCCATATAACTTGTGACCACTGATCATCTGTCCAATTAATGTGTTCCTTTGCCCACAGTTTTTTTTTTTTTTTTTTTTTTTTTTTTTTTGTTGTTGTTGCTGAAAATTAAGATAAGGCTTTTTTTGTGGAATTCTACCTCTCAGTCCAACATCCTGTTAATTCTCTCCTGATTGTTCTTGAACTGACAGAAACACCAGCATCATTCAGATCACTTCTGATGGCTGCTGATGACATTTTTCTATCTTGGAGACATAGTCTTTTTATTCTTCTGTCATCAATAGATGTGGTGCACCTTTTTCGGCCTTTTCTTTCTTTGTTTTTTATTGAATTTGTCTCCTGATATCGTAAACAAAACTTTTGGACTCCAGATGTAGTCACTGAACCACCCACCTGTCTTGCAATTTCAGCATAGGAAAGACCACTTTCTCGTAACACAATAATATTACATCTCTTTCTAGGTGTCCAATCTACTCTTTTATTTGATGTCATTGCTTCTTGACTAAATATTAAAAATTTTTACAAAAATTTCTACTTGTAATTGCAGTATATAAGAAACAGGTCCTCCTTCTACAGAACAAAGCAAAATAATGAATTTTTTCAAGTGTAAACATGATGTCAGCTTCTACTGGCAGTTACTAACATTTGATTGGTTCTCAGAACAAGAACAGTGATTGGCCAGTAAAGGTAGATATTACAAACCACTTCATAACTGTGTTTTTTATTTATATTAAAGTACATATAACTTTTTTTGTATTGCAAATAATTGAATTTTGTGTTTTGTATTGAATTCAGTAATAAATTCTCTTTAAAATGATATATACAAGTTTGCATTTTGAGAAACGTAACATTTTCTATAAGCATACAAAGTTAAAAAACATAAAAATTTCCAAAAGTGTCCACAATTTTGGCCACCAAGTGTATATATATATACATACTTAAAAAATACATTAAAATTTATAAACAAACTTAGTTTTTGTGTAACAAAAAAAAAATTGCACATAGCAATTTAGACTTCTACTTCTTATTGTTGCCTTAAAGTTAGTGATCAAATTTAATATAATTATACTTACTGAAAACATACATCTTGTACATCAACTACAGAAACATTTTATTAAAGATACACAAAATACAGATGATCAAAAGGAGGAAAAATATGAACAAAGAATATTTTCAGAAAGAATAAACAGGTATCAGCAATTTTGGTACTGTTATTTACATATTACTTTTTCAGTACAGTTTACATATAAAGACTAACCCTAAGCTCGTGATATTCTAATAGCTTATCTAAGAAATAAATATAATATCTAAGAAAATAGCCTTTACTAAGAAAGAATAAAAATAATGAAATTTGAAAATTATTGCACATTTCATGGCCCAGTGTAAGAAAAAAAGTGCTATTTCAAGTTTTCTACATTAGGAATATAGAAGTATCAAGACGCTTGCAAAGTTATATTTTAGTGTTAGAATGAAAAATGAACATGGCATTATATATATATATATGTGTGTGTGTATCGAGAGAAAGAGAGAGTAAGAAATTTAGAACTTATGTTTTACAAAGACGAGAATTTTTTTTCAAAATTTTTGGTATTTGTGAAACATTAGTTCTAAATTTCTTACTTTATGTCTTTAATGATAATTTTTCAGAGCCTTAAAGTGCAAAAATACTAAGCATGTTCATATTTTGTTTTTTTAAAAAAATGTTTTGTAATTACAAAACAATTTTTAGATGTATTTTTCAGCAGTTTAAAGCACAAAAATACTAGGCATGTTTACATTTTGTTTTTTAAAAAATGTTTTGTAATTATATGCATATATATATATTTACAAAACAATTTTTTATAATATAACATTTTCACAGTTTAAGTTGCTGGAAAATTATCATTAAAAACATAAAGTAAGAAATTTAAAACTAATTTTTCACATAAATGCAACAAAGAATTTAAAACATGTTAAAACCAAAACATTTCAAACAAGCAAAACCCCATTAAAAAAATTAAGGAAATTTAGAGAAAAATGAACATGACAGAGAGGAATTAAATCAACTTCAATACTACTCCATCAGGGGGGAGAAACACTGAAATCAATTGAAATCTCTCATATATATATATAATTTGTTTACTAAAGAAATATTGATTATATTATCTCCTAATATAAATTTAGAAGTATCTAAAAAGAGTGAACCCATATGTTGGAATTTTAATTTCGAAAATTGTGTTTTAAAATATTTCTCAAAAACAGAAGCTAAAAACAGTAAATATCACCCTTTACAGATAACTAGCATAAATTTCAATCTCATTCATTATGTAACCTAGCATTATTTGCAATATTAATAATTAAAAATGATTACTTAAAAATTTGATTTCTCAACTAATTCAATACATAGGAAACAGATGAAAGACAATGCAATCACTATTATTATTAATAGTGAGTCACTAATATGGGGACCTTTTTACTTCCTTGTATGAAGTAAAGGAAGTATCGTAATCATGAAAAATTTCAGGTACCATATTTCAAAGAAAATATCCATTTTTACCACTATCCAATGCAATTTAACAATGTTTTTGCATGACATCTGCTTGTAAGGACAGAATAAAGGACTTTTTCCCAAAATGGATTATAAAATAGATTTATCTCAAATCATTCCAATATGTTGAATTAACCACTAAAGAACTTACTTTTAACAGAAACCAAACTAAAGGAATTGCAGAAAATTACTAAATTTTCATAGAAAGCTTCCTCAATGGAACAAAACATAGGAATAAATATCTACAACTTGCTCTCTTTGTTTTATGTATTAAATGTTTTATTGACGCATGCAGAAAAAATACATATGATTTTATATAAATATAAATTTCTCTATTATTTAATACCGCTCTATGCCTGATGATATTTCAAGTTTGATAGCATTTGTAGCTTTAAAGAAAGATTACTAGAAACTATCTTCATCCCAGATTGTAGATGCTCATTGGTCACTCAAGCTCTTTTGTTAGACTTATTAATTTTCAATCAATTAGTGATTGACTCAAGAAAAGTAAAAGCATCCACTCATTAGAGAAAAAATGGACAGAAAAGAATACAAAAATTTTACTAACTTTCAGCTGACAAATAAATTTAGAGATTGTTTGGCATGCAAGCTTACAAAGTCTGGTACTTTTCCGTTTTGCCGGCACAAGCGATAAAGTCGCCAATAATGGTAAAACCGATGCCAAACGGAATATTTTCGCTGGTAACATTTTACGCCTCATTTTCAAAACAAGTCGCAGCTTTTTCTTATCAGATTGATTGTTTCTTTCAATACTGCATATAATTACATAGAATTTTTATCAGATAGTTCAGTTTTATGTCTAAGGCCATTTTTGGTAATTAAGTCAATTAGGATGCAATCACAGCGCTTACCCGAAGCCGAAAATATAGAAAAGGTAAAGTCAAGAGTTATATTCATCCATTCTAATGAGAATGCATTAGCGAAGTAAAGCACTGAGCACTGCAGTTTTACATAATTTTTGAGTAAGCTATTCGTAGGAATTGAAAATATTTCTTGCATTTAAACTTGTGTTCCAAATTAAGATTTAACTTGAAATTAATGTAGATAATTACTGAGAGCATTAGATTTTTGTAGAGTAATTTACGTGAGATTAGATCGCTTGGGGTCACGTGATATGAACCGGCGAAACAGGATGTTGAACCATGAAAGCATAGTAAATTCTTAAATTAATGTCTTTTTGCAAACTTATTGTCTTTATTTATTGGCTTTTTATAAAATTTTAAGTGATATTAAAATGTTTATGCCTTCTTTTTTTAAAAGAATTCTTAGAACCAATATTTTTTTAATATTTTTTATGTGTATACTGTATGTTGTCGCCAATAAAGTCTGCTTGGCGAGATTTGCGCCGGCGAAACGGAAAAGTACCCAAAGTCTATAATATTTGCATTTAACTGACATTGAAAATCTTTCCAATTTCTTTCATTTTATACATATAAATTTATCTATTTTTTTCTTGATCTTATTCACTAACAACTGGTGACTAATTTTGCTCAAAGTTAAGGTGCAGAGTTAACAGCCATTTTCAAAAATGATGCCACATACAGAATTACTTAAAAGAGTAACCAATTCACATATTAAAATAATAATAAAAACAAATAATAAATCACTTATCTTTTTTTTTTTTTTTTTTTTCTTTTTTTTTCCCACTGCTCTTTGCATGAACAGAAATCTGTTTATATTTTTAATTGTCATTTCCTAAGATGTGAGCAGGTCTGCCAAAGTCTTGTTATATGTGCATTATATATATATAAGGGCAAGTCAAATGAAAGTGAGCCAATGCGAATATATGACAAACAGAGTACTTTATTTAAAGGTAGTCTCCATGAACATTGAGACATTTATCCCATTGACAAATGAGCCGCGTGATCCCTGTCTCATAAAACTCCTTGGGCTGTCGATTCAAAAAGTCTGTAACCGACTCTTTCACGGCGTCATCCGACACGAATCTGGTACCCTTGAGATGTTTTTTCAGTTTCCCGAAAATATGAAAGTCGCATGGCGACAAATCTGGGCTGTATGGAGGATGTTGCAGCGTGTCCCACTTGAACTTTGCCAGTTGTGTCTTAACCACATCAGCGACGTGGGGACGAGCATTGTCGTGTAGCAAGATCACACCATTCGTCAATCTTCCAGGTCGTTTGTTCTTGATTGCGACACGCAGCCGATCCAGCGTTGCACAATATCGCGAACTATTGATAGTCTCTCCACGTTTAGCAAATTCAATCAGTAATGGCCCCTGACGATCGAAAAAAAAAGTCAATAGCACCTTTCCCGAGGAAATGACAGCCTTTGCTTTCTTCGGGGGTGGTGAATTCAAATGTTTCCACTGTAAGCTTTGCCGGCGTGTTTCAGGTTCGTAGTGGTGGCACCATGATTCGTCTCCAGTCACCATTGCAGACAAGAAGTCGTCACCCTCATTGTGATACCGGATGAGATGAGTCAGAGCAGCGCCGAACCTACCTCTCCGTCTTCTGGCGGTCGTTCAAAATCTTGGGCATCCATTGAGCACACAAAAGCCGATAACCGAGATGATCATGAATTATGGTGTGAACCGAACCGTGACAGATGTTCACACGCTCTGCCAGTTCATCGATGCTTATCCTCCGTTCTTGTCTAATCAGCTCATCAACCTGTGCAATTGTGTCGGGGGTGATTGCAAGGTGGCTTTGGCCCGGTCTTGGAACGTCTTTGCAACTTTCACGTCCTTCTCTGAACCGTTTGCTCCAACGCTTCACAATGGCCAATGCGATGCAATGTTCACCGTACACAGCAGTCATACGGCGACTAATTTCATGTTGGGAAACACCTTAAGCTGTCAAAAACCTGACCACACCACGCTGTTCCTCTTTTGGAGCGTCCATTATGTCACGCTACCGTCTTCAACCCAGTGTAAGAGCGCCTTAAAGAACTTTAACCTCCCACTTTCGCGCCACATTCCTAAATGAAGGCTGTCTCTGTGCTACGCGCATGCGCCACAGATGGACCGAACCATTCTTGCTGAGGAGGGGTTGGCTCACTTTCATTTGATTCGCCCTAATATATATATAATTTTGGCTGCATACCAGTGCTAGCTTCAAACTAAGTTGGAATGTAATGACTGCTGAAATGTTTATTAGTGCTTTTCTATTTTCTTAATAAACACTATATTGCAATTCCCTACCCAATGAATTTATGCTATATAAAAATCTGTAAGTACTGTATTAAAACAAATACATAACTGAAATGTATTAGTGGGGCTGCATTGCAGCCCGTGGTTCGTCCACTTGAGAGACCAGTGGTTTAAATGATCTCACCAAATCTGTTGTCACCTAAAAACCTTATTGTGAGGCAAAAATAAGTTGATATTTTAAATGGTTAACATTTAAACCTCTTTTCTCAAAACATAATGGAAACATACGAAACAGAAATAGCTATAGCGAACTAACTCTATAACCTTAAAATAAAATCTATATCCTTGATTGCAATTAAACATATAGAATATGTGCTGGAGTTAATGAATGCTCAAAATTCTGTACTTTGCATTTCTTTAAAAAAAAAGTTATCTATTATCATAGATATATCTACTATTTGATGAAATTGTAAACAAACCAAAAAAAAAAATTATCTCTCTTACTTGTTCTGATATTTAATGCAAAAATACACAAAATACATAGTTCCAGACAAACATGGAGATAAAAGGATTTAGAATGGGCAGATAGGGTTGTCATTTCTGCTATATGGTACGATATGTGGCCATACCACACAGCATAAATATCATCTGCTAGTACTTTTCTGTTTTGCTGGCGCAAATCTCGCCAAGCAGACTTTATTGGCGACAACATACAGTATAGACATAAAAAATGTTAACAAATGTTAGTTCTAAGAATTTTTTATTTTGAAGGCATAAACATTTTAATATTATTTAAAATTTTGTGAAAAGACACTAAATAAAGACAATAAATTTGTAAAAAGACATTAATTTAAGAACTTACTATGCAGCATGTATATTGCATTGCAACCTATTACAGGCCAAGGTTGTCTCAATAAACTTCCTCCAATGGATCCGATTACTTGCTATAGTCTACTAATGATTGATTTTTGAAGTTTTGAAATCTGCCTCCACACAGTTTATCTAGAAATTTCATTACTCTACAATAATTTTTTCTTGATGATGAGATTTATCTTTACCTTGAGTGTATGTATGCATATGCTATCTTTTCAAGAATGTTATTGTTCTCACCTAATCTCACTTGTCTGATAATGGTGACCACAAGCCTACGGTATTCATTTTGGCAAGGACTCAAATGCGCTTGCAGCCTTGAGCACAGGTGACAGCCTGAATTGAGCTCAGTTGAAAGAGCACTTTGGAGGAGGTATAGATCTGAAGATCTCCCACCTCTCTTTCTCTACCACCAAGCTCTCCAGAGAACTTTTAGCTTCCGCATATTTAAAGTACCCCTATACCACATAGACACTATACATTAACAAACATCCAACCCTTCTCCAGGATCTGAACCCGGGCCTTCGTATGACAGTCAGAGTCGCTAACCTTTTTAACAACACTATACATATGTTACTAACATATCTTTTATATAACATACATATGTCACTAACATACACATAAGTCTTTTTAACAACACAACACTATACATATGTCACTGTCTTGACTAAAATAATTTCCATACATTAAACAAAATGACTCCACACACACACCAGTTTACATACATTGAAAAGCACAATTGCCTCTATTAATAGTGTGCATTTGCATTACCTGGCAAAATTTTGGGGAATTTTAAATATGCTACATCACAAAAGTAGCAAAAATTATTAAGCCAGCTCTATTTAAAACAAGGATTTACTATATTGTTTTAAAACACAAAGCCAATTTAGTATTAAATCATAACACTAATATGTACATAAAACAAAAATTTGGACAAAATAAAATGAACTGAATAATTTTATTAAGTTCAAACGTGTATTTTTACATATATATTAAGTATACATAAATCTTTAAAAGTATATAGTTAACTGATTTATCAAACTAGATATTAATAATTTCTAAATTTTCCAATTAAAACCTACATTAAAATGTGGGAAAGTTGCAAGAAAATGAAGCACACATACCTTTTTTTGTCGAGTTATTAAATCCCAGTCATCAACAAGACAATTCTTAAGAAATGGAGAAATTGTAATTTTAATTTCCCTCTCTACTTTAACTTCCTCCTGTATCAGAAACAAGAGAATATGCTTTAACTATATTTGAATAATATAGTGATTTAACTTTGTATACATGCCTTTTTACATGTTAGCGTTTTGATACAAATAAATATTTTTCAGCAATGTGCTTTCATTTCTAAAAGAAAATGAATTTTGTGTCACATTCTTTTAAAATACATAAAAAATGGCCTTTTTAAAATGTGTGAATCTATTAGCAGTATCAGCCTAATTTTATATCAGTCACCTGTTACTTGGATCCTACAGAAATGATTGACACAACGGCTCTTACAACGAAACTATTACACTATGCGGAGGGAAAAGAAGGGAGATAGACAAAAGTGGGTGCGAGCTACTCAGAATGCATAGATGGAGCTGGCCACAAGCCGAACGGTATAAGTCAGGCCCGTCCCTTTCGCCATCATCATTGAGAGCGTGGACAGCAATGATGGAAGGTCATTATCACGGTCGGCGTTGGACAACACGGTTCCTATGGAAGGAAGGGACACAGGGTAGTGAGATCCATCGTTGCATGATGTCGGTGTGCGGGAACAAAGCACCCTCAAGGTGTAACATATCCGGTTGGTTGGCCAAGTTAAGCAGTGGGGTAGAGACTGCAGCCAAAGGTGTCAGTGCGGAACGACCAGCAGCATTGCATACAAGAGCATACAGGGTTCGTACACATTTCTGCCCACGGAAATTAAGTACTTTGAAGGACTTTTAAGGACCATTAATGAAAAAAATTAAGGACCCATGAGCATATGGGAACTGATTAAATTCAATTAAAAATATTATTCTATGCCTGAATTTCACTTTTCTAATACCATCCTGAAAGTAAAATAGATCCCTAAGTAGTATGCATTATAACCAAATGTTAATTAATTAACATAATTATTAATAAGTTTGTGAATGAAATAAACTTCATGCAGTTTGTCAAGTAGCATTAAATATTTTACACTTACAATAGGTTGGACATATTTGAAAGTCCAATATTTGTCCAATATTGTAGTTACTTTCAGACATAGTGATAATTTGCTTTACGTCTATCAGGGGTTTTGGATTATTTAACTTTTACCAGATCAAGTAAACCCTCATAGGTACATTGTGGAGAGGTTGACAAATTAGGAGATAAAGCACACAGAGACTAGCGAGAGCATTGGTTTGCATATAGAGACAAATCTCTAATTATTGTTAGGAAAGATGCTTAAAGAGAAGGAAATCTGTATAAACTAGCCAAAATGTTTGGGAAGGCTTCAAATTAAAATCACGAATAAATATTTTGTTGAGTGTTGTTGTTACAAAACATAAATGTTTTGTAGCTTTTAATGTGTAATTATTCTAATATTGTTTAAGAATCAGTGTCATAAATAACATGTATTAGTGACATTTACGTTTTACTAACATATTACTTTATGTTGATTTTTTTATGTCTCATTTTGTCACATACTTGGTCAGTCTAGAGCAGAGGTTCTCAACCGGTGGTACATAAGAAAAAATAGGTGGTACACAAAGAAGAAAAGTATTTATAACTATTTATTTCAAAAATTAAAACTCCAACAAGTACTTTGGTGGTTTTCAATTTTTATTCAGATGATACACGTTAGCCAAAAGGTTGAGAACCGCTTGTCTAGAGGTTTAGTAAATAGCAGGTAGATTTTATGTCAAATAGCATAAGGTTAAAATGAGAAGTATCATATCAGCATCATTCATAACAAAAGACTGAATGTTATTACCGCTGATACTTGTCTACAGAGAGACCTGCTGATTTAGAACAAACCTGAAAGGCATGATGTAGGCATGGTTGGCAAGTGTTGAAAGTTAGTCAGGCTCTGATGCAGTTAGTGTCATAGCTTCGTGTAGAGGTCCAGAGCTTGTAACCTAGTTAATATACTTTCAGGTTCCAATAAGCCATTAAAGCACCACAGGTGATAAGTTGTTTTGTAATAAGTCTCACTAGATGCAAAGAATAAGCTTTACTTGAATTTCTACATTTTTGTGTTTTATCTTCTGACCACAGTGAGTATTAATGATAAGCAATAACTCGCTTTAATATGTAGAGATAATTTTTAAGGGTAAGCAGTTAGTTATAAATAATTAAATTAGGTAAATAGGTAACCTTAGTCATTATGGATTTACATAGCCACTATTAAATTTTATTTTTTAACAATATTTGTTAAAAAAGCCCTATTAAAATCAAAATCTAATAAAATTTCACAGTTGAAAATACATGTTATTTATGACACTGATTCTTAAACAATATTAGAATAATTACACATTAAAAGCTACAAAACATTTATGTTTTGTAACAACAACACTCAACAAAATATTTATCCGTGATTTTAATTTGAAGCCTTCCCAAACATTTTGGCTAGTTTATACAGATTTCCTTCTCTTTAAGCATCTTTCCTAACAATAATTAGAGATTTGTCTCTATATGCAAACCAATGCTCTCGCTAGTCTCTGTGTGCTTTATCTCCTAATTTGTCAACCTCTCCACAATGTACCTATGAGGGTTTACTTGATCTGGTAAAAGTTAAATAATCCAAAACCCCTGATAGACGTAAAGCAAATTATCACTATGTCTGAAAGTAACTACAATATTGGACAAAGGTTTAAATAAGCCTTTTATTTGAAAAGAACTTAGAACAAACATAAAGTCATGTTCTGATGCTAATAAAGTCAATTATATCTCACGGTGACGTAATTAAACAAGAACAGTCAAATTCAAACTAAAAAGGTGAACTAGTGGTAAAAAATTATGCAATTTAATTTAAATTTAATCTGGATGGAAAATTATAATAAAGGCTGAAATCATAAACAATTGCGTAATTCACATAATAATAACTGCACATATCTTTGAAGAATAATTTTCTTTATGTTTTCAGTTTCTTTTTCCTTTTAAAATTTTTGGATTAAATAAAGGATTTCTGTTTTTCTAAAATCACTAAATGCATTTAGAATGTATAGAAAAAGTGAATAATTTAATTTCTTTAGTAATTTTGAATTCAGCAGAAATATGAAATATTGTTACGCGGTACAGGCACGGTAAGACGGCTTCCTGCAAAGCAGTTTTAAGGTGCCCATAAAATGGCAAGGGAAGGCAGGGTTGCCACATTTGGCGAGAAATCGCCATTTGGCGACATACCATGGACAGATAGAGAATCTTCCGTAACGAATTCTTACCGGTTTAGCCCAGAATGTTCTCGAACACAAGCCAAAAGATATATAAACCCTGCTGGTCTGCAGTCAGATAGTGTGTGCCTCATCTAGCGAGCTGATAGTCAGTCATTGAGCAAGTATCTCGATGTCTAGCAACGAGTTGGTCGTCGAGTGCATCGAGAGAGTCATTTAGTGCATCGCCAAGTTTTATCTTAGACTGTGCTGAGTCCAGAGCTATACTCTTGTGTATCGTCAAGTGCATCGCGAGTTGTAGCGTGGAGAGTCTCGAGAGTACAAGGAGTTCCGAGAATGACCAAGCAGAGTCGAGAGTTGTACTCTAGTGCTTTGCTGTGAAGCTGTCTCCACTGTGATAGCCTGAAGGCTGTATCGCTGATCGTGTCAGCGTGTGTTATAGTAGTTCATCGACAACTGTAAAACATGTTTTGCAGCTGTCCTGACAATACTGGTAAATAAAGTGTGTTTCGATACTTCATCAAGTGTTGTCGTCATTCACTCCAAATCTATGGACCCTGTACGAACGTAAGGAAGAAAATAACGTAACAACTGGTGTCAGGAAGAGAAAAACGCAACAATATGTATATGGTAAAGGCCGGCTACAGAGCTGATGTGGCAGAATTTTTAGAATTTAGTGACACACCAAACAACAAAATCTAGAAATGGCAAAACTTTTAGAATTTAGACGGGCATTGGAAGCAGAATTTAGAAAGGCACTATGCAGTCGAATTTAGGATCCACAGATTGCATCAAATGGGAAAATGTGTATGAAGCATTAAAACATATTAGATGGATATTTTAAATTGTAAGTTTTCAATTATTTTATTAATAAAAAATCCCTTTCTATAATGCCTGCCCAAGTGATACAATTAGAGGCATTTTGGATAATTTTCCATGCTTGTGTCTAGTGAAAAGTAGAGAAAATAAAGGGAAGATAAACATGTTAAGAAAAGGATTCTAGTATCAGGAGTAATAACTCAACTATTTTGTCTTCATTGTTCTTCCAGACGTTCTCCAAAAAGTCAGAAATTCATCGCAAACATTCTGTAAAATACATCCATTACGCGTTGATACCATGGAGACATTTTTCACTCTGTCACATATTTCTCGAATCTTCTAGAATCGTGGGTCTATAAATCTTGCCTTCAAATCCTTTTACATTTTCCAAGTTGCAATGTCAAAAATACTAAATAAAAATTATCCCAATCAATTCTGTAACAGCAAAAAGCCAGAAATATTTTGGAAAAAAAAAGGAGAGAAAAAGTGTAAAATTACTTTTATAGATAAAACTGATGTATATTCTGAAAATTTTGAATATTCCGAGACAATTACATCGAAAAAACGATTACTATGAAAAAAATTAAAAAGAAGATATTTTTAATTAATTACATAGTTAATTTTGCTTTTGCTAAGAGTTGTTTCATAAATTGTGCTTTATAGCATTATACCTTTTTTTTCAGATTCAAAATATTGTATAATAAGTTGCCAAATGACACTTTATATATGACAGCGGAAAATAAAAAGGTTTTATTTTAATGTTATTTTTTAAATATAATTCCAATACATTACTATTATTTTAATGAAATTTATCAGTTATGATGTTTTTAAAAAAAATCGTTGAAAAATTCTGATTTAGGAATAAAAAATTTTCTATAGAAACTGGCCTTAAAATCGCCAAAATGTTCACTAGTCGGCAAATTTACAACCGTTTAATAAAAGAATTCACATTCCCAAAAGCGAAAATTGTTTAAAGAGTTCTTTACTACAAAAAATGAATTTCGAAATGCTTATGTTTCACTTCTTGCTTAGAAACTTGAGTATTCCATCATTTATAT